CTCAATTCCCTTCACAATAGCACACAAGGAAATTAAAGTACCTAGGAATATATTAAGCAAAGAGGTAAAAGACCTCTACAGGGAGATCTATGAAACACTGAGGAAGGAAATAGCAGAGGATGTAAACAGATGGAAATCCATACCATGCTCGTGGATCGGCAGACTCAATATCATCAAAATGTCTATACTACCCAAACTGATCTACAGATTCAATGCAATACCTATGAAAATCCCATCAGCATTCTTCACAGATATAGAAAAAATAATTTACGCTTCGTATGAACCAAAGAAGACCCGAATATCAAGAGCAATTCTAGGCAACAAAAACAAAATGGGGGCATTAATATGCCAGATATCAAACTATATACAAAGCTGTAGTAATTAAAACAATATGGTATTGGCACAAAACAGGAATATTGACCAGTGGAACAGATGTGAGAATCCTGATATAAAACCATCCTCATATAGCCATCTCATCTTTGACAAAGCAGACAAAAACATACGCTGGAAAAAAGAATCCCTCTTCAATAAATGGTGCTGGGAAAACTGGATAGCCACCTGTAGAAGGCTAAAACAGGACCCACACCTTTCACCTCTCACAAAAACCAACTCACGCTGGATAACAGACTTAAACCTAAGATATGAAGCTATTAGAACTCTAGAGGAAAAATTGGAAACACTCTCCTAGACATCGGCCTGGGCAAAGAGTTTATGAAGAAGTCCCCAAAGGCAATTCACAGCAGCAACAAAAATAAATAAATGGGACATGATCAAACTACAAAGCTTCTGCACAGCAAAGAAATAGTCATGAAAGTAAACAGACAACCTACAGAATGGGAGAAATTTGCATCCTATGCATCCGATAAGGGACTGATAACTAGAATATTCTTAGAACTCACGAAAATTAGGAAGAAAAAATCAAATAACCCCATTAAAAAGTGGGCAAAGGACTTGAACAGAAATTTTTCTAAAGAAGACAGAAGAATGGCCAACAAATATGAAGAAATGCTCACATCTATAATAATCAGGGAAATGCAAATCAAAACCACAATGAGATGTCACTTAACCCCAGTGAGAATGGCCTTTATCATAAAATCTCCAAACAATAAATGCTGGCGGGGTTGCGGAGAGAGAGGAACACTCCTCACTGCTGGTGGGACTGCAAACTAGTTCACCTCTGTGGAAAGCAATATGGAGATACCTTAAAGCGATACAAATGATCTACCATTTGATCCAGCAATCCCATTGCTGGGCATCTACCCAATGATCCAGTGACACTCTACAAAAAAGACACCTGCACTCAAATGTTTATAGCAGCACAATTCATAATTGCAAGGCTGTGGAAACAACCCAAGTGCCCATCAATCCAAGAATGGATTAATAAAATGTGGTATATGTATACCATGGAGTACTATTCAGCTCTAAGAAACAATGGTGATATAGCACATCTTATATTTTCCTGGTTAGAGCTGGAACCCATACTACTAAGTGAAGTATCCCAAGAATGGAAGAACAAGCACCAGATATATTCTCCAAAAAACTGGTATTAAGTGAGTAGCACCTAAGTGGACACATAGGTACTACGTAATAGGGTATTGGCAGATGGAGGGGTGGGGCGGGTATATACATACATAATGAGTGAGATGTGCACCATCTAGGGGATGGTCATGATGGAGACTCAGACTTTTGGGGGGAGGGGGAAATGGCATTTATTGAAACCTTGAAAATCTGTACCCCCATAATATACCAAAATAAAAAAAAATAAAAAAAAAAAAAAAAGAAGAGACTTTAAAAAAAAAAAAAGAAAATTCTTAAGAGAATACTTAGAAGAACGTAAAATTTATACTCTGAAAACTACAAAACATTATTGAAGAAATGAAAGACCTAAATAAATGCAACAACTTCCCAAGACTCAATGTTGTTAAGACAATACTCCACAACTGATCTATAGGTTCATTGCAGCCCCTATCAAAGTCCCAGCTGAATTCTTTGCAGAAATTGACAAACTGATCCTATAATTCATATGGAAATTCAAGTGGCCAAGAATAGCTAAAACAATCTTGAAAACAATCTGAAAAAAAAATTGGGAGACTCACATTTCCCAATTTCAAAATTTACTAAACACTATAGTAATCAAAACTGTGTGGTACTGGAATAAAAATAGATGTATAAACCAATGGAATAGAACTATGAGTCCAGAAATAAACCATTAAATTTATGGTCATCTGATTTTCATCAAGGGTGCCTAGACAATTCAGTGAGGAAATAAGAATCTTTTCAAAACTATGTTGCCAGGACTAGATATCCACGTGGAAAAGAATAAAGTTGGATTTCTTTTTTTTTTTTTTTGTCAATTTTCTACTTCTGTATAAAGTTGGATTTCTATCTCACACCATAAGCAAAAATTTACTCAAAATAAATTAAAGACCTAAATGTAAGAGCTAAGAATATAAACTTCTTAGAAGAAAACCTAGGCATAAATCTTCATGACCTTGTATACTACAATATCAATTAACCTTGAAAATATTATGCCCAATGAAAGAATATTGATATAAAAGGCCACACAAATACTGCATGATTCTACTTATATGAAATGTGACATAGAGACTAAAAGTATATTAGTGGTTTCCAGGAGCTGAGGGGAGGGGAGAATCAGGAGTGACCCTAAAGGGTATGGAGTTTCTTTTTGGCATAATGAAAATGCCCTGGAATTAGTAATGATGATTGCCCAATCATGTGAATATATTCAAAATCACTGCCTATACACTTTAAAATGTTGAATTTTATGGTATGTATATTACATCTCTATCAGAAACAATTTTTAAGTATAAGAAAATATTATATAGATCAGGCAAATAAATATTAAAATATTAATGTAAATAAAGCTAATATATAGATATATTAATATGAGGATAAAAATTGATTGTAGGGTAAAACACCAGTGATACCAGATTACCAGGTATTATCAAAGATAATTTCCTTACACATTGATAAAATATTTAATTCACCAGGAAGATATAGCAATTCTAAATTTGTTTGTAACTAACTATCTACATACTTTCAAAACTAACAAAATTATAGAGAGACATTAACAAATTTTCCATACCAATAGGCAGTCATACCCCCAGAAGAATATAGAACATTTGAGCCAAGTTAATAAACACAACTTCCTTGGTGTATATAGTACATTAAACACAAATTCTTCATTTATCAGAATTGTCCATATATTGTTTCATAAAGCAAATTTCAACAGATTTTAAAGAAATGAAATCATACAAAGTTTGTTTTCTGACCAAAATGGAATTAAACTGGAAATGACAAGGGCACTGATCTATCAAACAGAAGCTGGCTCAAGGGCTGGTACCAAGTACTGGAGACTACCTGTATGGCAGGCATTAACCCTTTAGTTGCTGGATGAAAACCAGTAGGTCCCAGTAGTCTTCGGAAAGGGACCGAGATGTCAGGGCAATTGAATAAGTGATGGAGAGACTAAGTAAGCCTGGGGCAGTGTTTATTTATCAAATGGTCTGGATATATTTTTAAAATTTGTAAGGCCACACAATTATGCATCTGTGGAATATAAGCCCTGTTTAGTAGGCCAATTATAGCATTGGATGATTATATTAGAAAAGAAGAAAGTCTGAAAACTAATGAGCTGTGCATCCAAATTTACAAGTTAAAGAAAGAACAGAATAAATAGAAAATATAAGAAACAGAAAAATGATAAGAAATAATAATAAAACAGAAAATAAAGAGATAACAGAAAGGATCAAAAAGCCAGGAGTTGATTCTTTTAGAAGAATTATAAAAGTGACAAACATCTGGCAATATTGATAAAGACAAAGAAAAGAAGGTACAAATAAACAATATTAGAACAAAAATAGAAGATACAACTGCAAATGCAACAGATATTTAAAAGATACAAAGATAAAAACTTTATATAAATAAATTTGAAAACTGATGTGGAATAGAAAAAGTCCTAGAAAACCTCAACTAAACAAAGCTGACTTAAGTAGAAATAGCAAACAGAAATGACTTTATAACGATTAAAGAAATTGCATCAGTTAAAATATTAAAGGAGACATCAGGCCCAGATGGTTTTACCTGGAAGTTCTGCCAAATATTTGAGGAACAGATAGTTCCTTGGACAACCTCTGTCAGAGAACAGAATGAAAGGAAATAGTTCTCACCTCATTTTATGAGGTTAGTATAACCTTGACACCCAAATCAGACAAGGATAATGTAAGAATGAAAAAATTACAGGCAATCTCATTCTGGAATAAAATCCTAAAAAAAATATTAGTGAATGAAATCCAGACGTTTTTAATTATCCCAGGACTGCCAGATTAGTTCAACACAAGATAAACTCTAATGTAATAAACCACATTAACAGGTTAAAATAGAAAATCAATACATCATACTAAGATGCTACAGTAAACATGTTTAATAAAATTCAACATTCACTTATCTTTTACATATTATATTGGCAACTAAAAATAAACAGGAACTGCCTTAACCTGTTAAATGATATCTACTAAAAAAAGACAGCAAATTTACTTAATGGTGACAATTTAAAAGCATTCATTTTAAAATCAGGATTAAGCAAAGAATGTATACTATTAACATTTCTATTCAACATATACTACACATCATGCGCATGTGTATGTTAAAGGTGGGTGGTCTTGGCAGTTTAGTAATATAAGAAAAAGAGATAAAAATAGATTGGAGGGGAAAATGAAAGCTGTTATTTACATACAAATTATCAAAACTAATAAAGTTCAGCAGGCTTGCTAGTTACAAATTCATTATATAAAAAATTACATTTGTACACATTATCAACAAACTGCTATAAAATGTAATTTTCTAAGAAGGTACTGTTTACAACAGCAGCATAAAATAAGCAAAAAATTTTTACAGTGATGCACAAGCACTTTACAGGTTAAAATATAAAATTTTACTCAAATAACATCAAAAAAGTCTAAAGATATGGAGAGACATACCATGGTTAGGAGAGACTCTGCATCACAAGAATGGTAAATCTCCTTAAACAGATTTACAGATTGAATGCAATTCCAATCAAAACCCCTGTGTGTAACTTGAAAATGTGATTCCAAAATTTATGAGGAAGAGCAATGGGCCATGAATAGCCAAGACACTCATAAGTACAAGATGGAGGGACTTGCTCTACCAGGATAAATATACAAGAATATCCATTGACCTCTCATTCATAACCCAAAATTAGAAACTACCTAAATGCTCAACAGCAGTAAGATGGATAAATACACTGGGATATCTACAAGGAGAGTAAACGAGCTACAACTACATGCAACAATAACATGAGTGGCTCAAATAAACATAATGTTGGATGAGAAACGAATATACACAGCTGTTCAAGCACTTTACACAAGTTAATGAATTTGATCCTCCGAATAACATCAGTAAATGATTGTGTGTCCTCTAGAGAGGATGCTCCAAGAAAAATGTGATCGGACCTTTCTGGGATTAATAGCCTGGCCTCCCCAGCAGGAGGTGAAGCAGACATTGCCTAGGGCAAGACTTGGCAATCACTTAGTTTTTTGCAGCTATGGTCTGATGGAATTCAGTCAATCATTAATGAGTGACTGTCTTGTGCACACAGAGTCTTATTCTTCACTATGGTGAGTGGTAGAGTGGAAGTAGCACAAAGTACCATTTACTGAGCATCTGCTATGTGCCAGGTTCAGGGCTTAATACTGGGGATACGATGGCTAATAAGGCCATAAGGCCATACACGTACTTTCTTGTTTAAATAATGAAAAGCAACATTTACTGAGTGCCTAATATGTGCTGGACACTTTTGTAAGGATCTCACATACTTAAGCTCATCTAATCTTCACACCACCATTATTAACTTCATTTTTACAGGTGATGGAACAGAAGCCCAATGAGCTTAAGAGACTTGTCCAATGTCACAGAGATGGGATGTGGCAGAAATGGGACTCAAATCTAAGCAGTCTGAATCCAGAACCTCTGAATCAGTAATCCCAACAACACTGGGAGGTATGTATTAATCCTGTTTTACAGTTGAGGAAAATAAGGCTCAGAACTAAAGTAAGCAAATATTTATTTTGTGCCTTCTATGTGACAGAGACTATATTAGGTGATTTATGTATATTATCTCTCAACTTGAAATACAACAGTTCCCAGAAATATAAGGGTTCTAACCCATGTATGCAGAGAGTGACTTGCCTGCTTGTCAGCTAAACCCATAGCCCCTTGGAAAGGACAGCTGGCTGGGTAGAGGTGGGATATAGCTCTCAGTCTCCAGGCTCCTAGTTCTCCTGATGAGTGAGTGAGACTGCTGGTGGAGAGAAGGAAGAACAGGAGACAGGAGGCTGTTTTTTTTTTTTTTTCCTCTCTTCCTCCATCCACACTCTACCATCTTAAATACTATATTTAATATCCTATATCTTCCTGGATCCTCTAAGCAATAGCTCTGTCCCCCCCAATATCCCTGAGCCTGGTTTCCTCTAGCATTAGCAGAGTGAAAACTTGGTCGGCTGGTCTTTAGGGTGTCTGGGTCCCACATCCCACAGCTGTCTTATCTTCATCCACCTTATGGCTCCTCAGGCCACAATCCTTGGGCTGGAAGCACCTTGACCCACAACTGTCCTCTGTTATCTATGGAAAATGTTTTTTTTTTTTTTTTAAATATTTATAAGTTTTATTTGCTTCTTCCTTTCCCTGGCTCTTTCTTAAATTTCCAAAGTGAACACCACACCAGCAGGCTAGCCCTGAGAGACTGAATGTCGTCTTCTCCCTCAAATCCCCAGAGCAGCAAGAGGGTCCATGTGTGCCAAGAAGGCAACACAGGAGACAGGACAACCAGCCTTTTCCCCAACCCATGCAGGTACAGACTGAGAAGAGGCTTGAGAAAGGGGAGGAGCAATACTGACCAATGACATGGTACTGTTGTGTACTCAGCACCTGTCCCCTGAGAGACAATGCCAGGAACCCTCACCTTATTTCACTCAGGCATTATGAGTCAGGCAAGATCAGTTCCCAGACATTTCACAGAAGTCACCAAAAGGAAACATTCTAGGATAGCACTGAACAGTCTCAAACTAGAAACATTAAATTCCAAGCAAGAAGCATTTCAAATAAGCTCTGGATAAGAAATGAAAAGTTCCCAAAGATCCCTCCGATTAAGATGGTCTTTATTTAATCCTCCTCCTTTCTCCGTCTTCATCTCTTTCTTTCCATCTTTCTCATTCTTTCCTCACCTTTTCTGACATTAGCCTCTTGTTATCCTACAGCTACTTCATCCAGCTTCTCATCTATTCCACCTTTTAGGTTGGGGTGGGAGTAGATGGCAAGGGGGTGCATCCTTTGCTCTTCTACACTCCACCACTGTACCACTCTACACTTCTCCCACTCTACCACCACCACCTTGAAGCCCATGGAAACAAACCCCACTTACAGCCCCTTCTCCGTTGCAGCCCACTGCTGCCGCTGCTGTGTGGAATCCAGATCTTCTGCAACCTTGTTTGGGTGAGCTCTCCCATCTCTTGATACATCTTAGGAGTCTACTGCCCACAAGGTACCAGGCCTCGCTTCCTATCTTACTAGCTGTCCCTTCTCTTGATGTAGCCACGGCAGCAGGTGGATAGGGCTGGGGCACAGAGACACACTGGGCTTCTGAGCCCTCTCACAGCCTGTCTCCAGCTCCCTATCCTCCTTCCTCTAGTCCTATCCTGCCTCTGCTCCTGTACATACCAGTGGGGGCCTGGGTGCAGAGAGCAAGAGGTTGGGCAGAGGTCAGCAGAGGCCTCTGAACTCCAAGGGCTGTGTACATAGGAGATAAATTGGAGCACAGCAAGGAAGGCAGCCAGCAAGACAGCCCGGGTCTGGCCAGTCACTTCCCTCCAATGAAGACAAGACTAGTAGAGTATGCAAATAAAAGACCAAAGATCATGTGCTTACATCCTGTGTCGGGTGGGGAGGCAAAGGTGATGGTGGTAGGTCTCAGCAGCTTTCACAGCTTTGAAATAAAAACAAGCCCAAGAAGAATGTCAAGCTTCAACCCAGAAACAGAAAGCCACATCAAAAATGCACAGTTCCCAAGGACACAAACACAAACACAAAGTTCCTAATGAAAAATGTAATGTTTTGAGCTAGCAATTAAAGGCCCAAAGTGGAAGTGGAAGGTCCACTGCCTCACTGCTCTCCCCACCCAAAATGGCATTGCAACCATTGTCTTCCCCTGGATTCTGCTGCCTGCCCTGCCACAGGGCCTCCCCCACCTAAAATGTGCTGCCTGGGGCACTCTTGGAGAGATGGGCACTATCTGATCATCTTTATACTCTCTTCAGCCAAGGCTAAATAAATTGAAATAAACCTGACACCTCAGCAAGAGAAGTGAGTGCAGCCATTGCTGGAGGGAAAGATGTTAAGCAATGGCCACGCGGCTGCCAGCTGCCAGCAGATGCCCTACGAAGAACGGCATTGTGATCTGATCCAAAACCTGGCTAAAGTTCCTCATGCCAGGCAATTGGGATGGAAGCTTAGGAGGGTAAAGAGTGCAACAGGGAGAGTGTGGGGAGCAGGGAGCAATGACCTCAAAGTAGGACAAGTCCATAGGTCAGAGCCATCCAGCCTAGATGTTTCCACTACCACCCCCTGCCTACCCCTCCTCCCATTGTTTTGAGGCTTTTATGTGTAGAACTCAAGTAACTGCACAACTTGCCTGGAAGAGTTCCAAGTGTGCTCTTAAAATTCTTTCCTTTGCAACCCTCCCACCCCATGATGAACCTCCAGTGATTGGCTAGGAGGAAGCTCAACTTTCTTCCACTGAGCTGGGCTACAGGAGGGCAGTCTCTTAGGGATAGAAATCTCCAATCTCTGCCCTCAAATGCTCTCAGCTCCACTTTGCCTTTTATGAAGTTGCCTAAAATACATTCGCAGAACCTTAGTCTACATACGGGTCAGATTCCCTCCAGTTGCTGTGTATAAATCATACCAGACTTTCAATATGTTCCAGAGCTCACCTATCTAAATGAAACTACTGAGGCAGAGGATCATGGTGGTTAAGAATAATGGGCTCTGGAGCCACACCACCTGAGTGGAATCACACCTCTGTCCCTTGCTAGCTATGGGACACTGGGCAGAAAACTGAACTTTCTAGTGACTCAGTTTTCTCATCTGGAATATGGGAGTGATAGGAGTACCTACCCCCTTAAAGGTTCTTAAAGATTTAATGTGGTCATACACGTAAAGCACCCTGGGAAATGCTAAAAATATATTACCTAACACTGTTATTCCCTTTGTGAAGTAAATGATCAATCACCTCTTTGACTAATCTTCAACTTCTGTAATGCTGAGCATACAGAAACGCTCAGTAAAGGATTTTGCGATATTATGTCAAGGGGTTAACATTTATAAAAACACAAAGAGCTCCTATGAATCAATTAGAAAGATGAATTCAGTTTTACTCTTGTGGTTTCATGTAAAGACTTATGAGATCATTTCATCTCATCCTCTCAAGTAAGAAAACTGAAGCCTAGAAATATTTTCCTAAGGTCATGTAGCAAATCAGTGGCCAAGTCAGGAGCAGAACACTGGGAACCTAATTTCTGCCAGTAGAGGGGTTTTATTTGGTTAATTGATCAAATGAGCTTGATTTAAGAATGTGGCCTTCCAGGTTAACTCGGAACCTCTAAAGTCTCAGAACTAGGCTTTGGAAGAGATACAATTCTTTCCATTTTAATGTCTCCTAATTGGTATAACTCTGTTAATGCTAATTATCTTAATCATAACCCTTTTTATGTGTGTTTTCCATCACTCACAAGGCAACAATATTTCCCTTATCCTATCTGCTTCTGAAAAACATGCTTACTAGTCTCATAGGGAAATTGAGGTGTGGGGTGGGGAAGTGGCTTGTTCAAGGTATTCTAGATAGTCACATGAATGCCTCTTCCATGTTTACAATTTTGTCCTCATGACCTCACCAAGAAGCAGAAAGATAATTTTAGCAGTGGGAAATATGAGATAGGAGGCTAGCAGGCTTTTGACAAGGTCTGAAAGGGTAAACCTGGGGTCCAGGCTTGAAAACGTAACTTAAAACTGCCTGAAACTAGCTATGAGATAACTCACGACTATTACCAATCCTGATCCTAGAAGCAGGAGAACTAAACAAGCTTTATGGAAAGACCTCAGACTGGTACTCAAGACTCTTCTCAATCAAGCCCTAATCTTGTCCAGCCATATATCTCAACCTCCATGCTTAAACTGCACTGCCTGACTCACTGGGCCCCAAAATACAAGACATATTTTCCTGCCTCTGGGCCTTTGCTTAGCCTGGAATGCCTTCTCTTCCCTTCAATTCTCAAATATGACTTGCTCTTCAAGATGTGCTTCAATATTCACCTTCTCTGGAAAGTGATCCCTGTATCCTTCGGACAAGCTTTGCTTTGGTTCTTATAATGCCCACATGCTCCTGTCTATCTGAATAAGTATTCACGAGTGTTTTCTTGGTCTGTTTTTCCACTAGACTGTGAGCTCCTTATGGATAGAAACTGGATCTCAGTGATATGTGATTTGTGTTTCTAGTGTTCAGCACAGGCCCTAGCTAAGAGGACTGAGGAGACACTTGCTCAAAGGGTGTTTCTACAGTCTACATCTCTCTGCCATAGATGAGATGAACATGTGGACAAGTAATCCTAGTTTAACAAGGCAAATGTTATAAAAGAGAGCTGTGCAGGGATTGGATGAGAGAACTAACTTGGTATGTGGCAGAAGGTAGCATTTGGAAAGGTTTCTCAACCTTGAATTGTGCAGAACAGGATAAGCAAAAGAATGAAGTCCCCTCTGAAAAGGGCCAATGAACTGGTGGCAGAGAATGGGTTCACCTAACATCAGATTCTCACTTAAGACCAAGAGCTGAGCTGTCTAAAGAGGGGCTACCTCCAGAGAAGAAAAGCATATAGTGTGACTTCCCAATGCCTACAGATCCTAACCTGCCCCAAAGTATGGGGGGACGTGTGTGTGTGTGTGTGTGTGTGTATGTGTGTGTGAAATCCCATTTAAAGCAGCATTAAGACAGTACTGATGGGTAATAAAAATCACAAATTAGGTCTCCTTATTGGTAATTCTCAGAGTGTGTGGGTGTGAATGCATTTGTGGAGGGCTAAGGTGGGAGCGGAGATTGGTCACACACTTATAAGCCACATACATGTATATGAGCATCAGGCCTTCTGTGGCAGCAGTCTAGGATCCACTTCCTTCTCAGCCACTTCCCTGGTCCATCATCTCCCCACTACCTCATGCCTGGGCCCCAAAGCTTACTGAATCCTAGTCCTAGGAGAAGCTCTCCACAGACCATAGTCATTAAGGGAAAAGAGCAGCCAGAGGGTTATGGTTGATATTGTCTGTGGAGGCTACAGAAAAAGCAGGATCACTAATCTCAGACAGAGCAGGGAAGTCCTGAAACATCTCCAAAGAGTTTTGGTTCCTGTTCTCTCACCTCTCTTGAACTTCAGACAGCTCTCTGAGGGAAGCAGGCTAGGGACTTTGATTTCCAATTTACTGAGGCCGCTATTGATGCCCATAGAAGCTAGAGAGTTTGTTCAAAGTGCCACATCAAATCGACCCTACTTTATATAAGAGTGGGGAGGTACGGGAGATAATCTCAATCACTCAGTTCATTCAAAACTAGACTAGACCAAGTTGGACAGACTTCCAAAAGTGCTAGGGAATTGCCCGTTGGGCCAGTGTCCCACAAAGGCAGGCCAGAATGGATTTTAAAAAACAGATAGATTAGACACAGATATTCCCAACTTTCCCATATCCTTTAATACACATTTAAACCAACCATCTAGGCAACAAAAACTCTCCAGAAAGCCTGAAGAATGGATATAGATTTGTGTAACTCCTGTCTACTTTTCCTTCTTTCTCACCTACCTTTTCTCCTGAAGGCTTTTTCCTCCATCACTTATTATCCAACACTCAGTTCTCTTGCATTTACAGACCCTCAAAGCAAGTCCAGTGGGTGGCATCAAAGAGAGAGCTTGGAGGCATTCGTTGGTTCCCTGCGAAAGCTGAGGAAGTATCCTTGTTAAGCGGTGTGTGTGTGTGTGCTCTGTTGAAATGTCAGCTGATGTAGTTGCCAAAGAAATTCCTGAGCCACCCGGAGCCTTTTCTCTTCAGTCCAACCATGTGTTCACCTTGCCCCAAAGGTCAGAACTAATATTAACAAGCCATGGCAGAAATCAAAACCAGCTATGGAGACAGGCAAGATCTGAATTTCCTTGGGGGTGAATTTTAAGTTAGTCTTCAGTGTAAATGGGCACAATCTCTTACTGGAAAACAACTTGGCAATATGAAGCAAGAGCAATACAAATGTTCATTTCCTTTCTCCTAGTTATCCCACTCCTGGAATTCAATGCTAAGTCAATAATCACCAAAGTGTGAAAAAGCTCAAGACACAGAAATATTTATGTTAATTACAGAGCTATTTTCTGATGGCAACAACTGGTAGATAACCTTTAAGTCCTCCAGGAGGAAAAGAAGTTCATTATGTCTTTTCTGTAGCTACTGAGGATGATGGCTCTAAGGCTGTGGAATTCCGGGGTGAAAATAATTATGCTGCAAGTCTGGGTGAGGAACCTAAGTTATGCTTTTCCCTGGACATTAGCATGCTCATTATTTCTATATTTGTGCTCTCAAAAACAAGCCATAAGCCTGTCGATGATGTTGCTATTGCTCTTTGTTTTCCAGTCAACAAATATTTATTGCCTCCTAATATATGTTGTGTCTAATATTAGGGGTGGGGCTAACAAGATGAATCAGACATGGTCATTGCTCTCAAGTTGCTGGCAGCCTAAGTGGCAATAGAAATAGAAACCAATGGTAGCTGTGCATTGTGCATTGTTCCGTGACAGAATGGACCATAGGGTGCTGTGGGGGCACAGAGAAAAACAACTAACTGGGGAGGTGTGTGGTCAGTAAAAACATAGGAAAGTAACTTTTGAGCTAATATGGTTTGAATCTTGGTTCTAACACTTCTATGAGACTGAGGTGAATTCACTGAAATTCTCCTCTTACTTAGCTTCAATGCCCGTTACTGGGTTGTCCTGAGAATGAAAGGAGACAATGTCTACAGAGGAGCCATGGATATATCAGAGATAGTGCTGCTCAGGGGCTTAAATTCTCTGGGCCTAGATTTTACTTGTCTGAGAAATGGAGCCAAGAGCAAGTATGTGTCTGGCTACATTCTTCCGAATGCTATGAGGCCCGGGAAAATAATGGCTGCTGGGAGGGTTTGAGACAGCCTCCTCTTGTCTATCCCCTGCCCCAATAAAGTCAAAGGCCCTCCTCCTAAATCTTATCCCAGTAGTGAGCTTCTCAGCGTTCCTTTCTTCCTCTACCTGCGAAAATCCCCTTGACTCAGCCCAGTGCGAGCACACAGCTCCAGCTACTCCTGGGGCGCAAGCGCCACAGCCATCTGCGCACTTAGGTGGGCGGCCCGTCGCGCTGGGGGCGGGGCTTCAGCCCCTGCGGTTCCACTCAGCGTTCCGCTGCTTAAAAAGTGGTGAAAATCCCGCTTGTAAGTAGCCGGAAGCACCAACCGAACTTTTGAGCAGAGGAGAAACACGGTCTCAGCTCTGTGAGCCAGCGTGCGGCTGGAGGAGCAAGAGACCAACTGGAAACCTTCCTCTTGCCACTCATTTCTTCTAGACATCCGCCTCCTTCAGCTTCCAGCCAGTTCCCCTTCCCGCCAACGAGAGCTGAGAAGCTCGAAGCCCCGCCCTGCGTGAGTGTCGTGGCACGCACGAGAACGCCTGCGCAGGCGCGCGCGGGAGGCGGGGCCTGGCCGTCTTCGGAGCGGCGAGCCGGTAGCTCGCGCCTTCTTAGGCCCTAGCTGGGGGGTTCTCTAATTTGCCAAGATGTTGCGCTTGGTGAGCTGGAACATCAATGGGATTCGGAGCCCCCTGCAAGCGGTAGTATGCCAGGAACCCAGTAACTGTGTCACCATGGCCATGGGGCGCATTTTGGATGAGTTGAATGCGGATATCATCTGTCTCCAGGAAACCAAAGTGACCAGTGAGCCTCAAGAATCCAGAATCCCTGTCATATTTTCCCTTTCCTGCTAACTTTTGCTCCCTGCACCATTTCATTTCACTTTCCCATTTTCCTATCCTTAGAGTCCTGCCCTTGCCCTACCCCCTTAAGTTCCCATTCCACCCTAGCAAGATCCCCTAATTACAATTTCATCTCCTGTCCTAAGCAGAAGTTTAATTCCCTCTTCCTCGACACCTCCATATTCACTCAGATTCCCACGTTTTCTCTGGTCTCAACTCAGTCCTTCGAGTTTCCCTCCCCCATACACTACCTCCCAACCCCAAGTCAGACCTCTCAATTCTCCATTCCTGCCCCCAGCTCAGATCCTTTAATTCCCACCCCATCACTCCTCCCCAGCTCAGAGCCCCACCTCATCTCCCACATCAAGCATAGATATACTCTAATTTCTTCTACCTCCTATCCCCTTCTCAGACTCCCTAATTCCTTCTCCCCCCTCCCCCTGTTTTTATTCCCAAGTTTTCTCTCTCACCCTCCACCCTTAGTTCAAATTCCCACTTCCATCTCCCATATCCCCATTTCCCACCTTCAGCTCCCTCCTTTCACCCAGACCCCCAGGCTTAGCTCTGATTCTCTCTACCTCAACACACCATTATCTCTCCCCCCTCCCCAGTCTTCTAATTCTCATATCAGTTTCCTCTTTGATTTTTCTTATCTTTCTAGCTCCTCCTACAATCAACAATACTTCATTTTCCCTCCCAGTTCTATCTCTGATGTGTGCAAGGAATTATCCTACAACTGTAATTCCAGGCCTCTGGGTGTCCTGGATCCTAGTTTTACCTCTGACTTAATCTTATATTTTTTTCCCCCAGGGGATGTGCTGACCGAGCCCTTGTCTATTGTAGAGGGCTATAACTCCTATTTCAACTTCAGCCGTAACCGTAATGGCTATTCTGGTAAATGGGGCTTTCTGGGGACTTTAAATTAGTGATGGAGGCAGGTAGAGGGAAAGGGTTTCCATTATTCGATAAGATAATAAGAAATTTAGACTTTAAGTTCACGAAGCTAAAGCCACATATTAAGTTATGTTAGGTATAGTTTTTATGTATAAAATTATCCTGTTGTGGTTAGTTGTGTGAACTCTGGAGCCAAACTGCCTGGGTTTGAATCATGGCTCACTTCCTAGCTGTGCACCCTCTGGCAAGTTATTTTACTTCTTTGTGCCTCAGGTTATTCAGCTAGAAAATGAGGATAATGTCGTACCTCCTCGGGCTGTTACAAGAGTTACATGAATTAGTCCATGTGATAATCATAGCTAATACCTTTTGAGCACTTACCATGTAATAATGTAAAACACTTAGAATATTAGCGGCTATTATTCTGTAGCTTTTTTAGATGAAGGAACTGAGCCTCTAGGGTTTAAGTAGAGTTGCCTCACTCTCTAGGGCCACACATCCATGACCCTTGAGTTGGGAGAGTTGTCAATGCATAAAAAAATAAAGAGCTACACTTTATGAAGATGACTCAGGTGACCTGTGTGGGGACAATTGGAGTGGGACAGGCTGTGCAACAGGGTGTTGGCTGCCAGATCTACTTAGAGTACTCTGTCTGTCCCCAGGTGTAGCCACCTTCTGTAAGGACCGTGCTACTCCAATGGCTGCTGAAGAAGGCCTGAGTGGCCTGCTTGCCACTCAGAAAGGGGACGTGGGTTGCTATGGAAACATGGATGAATTCACCCAAGAGGAGCTCCGGGCTCTGGATAGTGAGGGCCGGGCCCTCCTCACACAACACAAGATCTGGTAATAGGCCATGTCCCACCGCCACTGAGCGCTGCTGGTGCTACTGTAAATGCGGAGATTCTAAGGCTTGTAACATAAACATATATTCACCATGGAGATGTTCCCAAATTTGCCTTTCCTGGTGTCTAGTCCTATATATACTGCTCACTGTATGAGCCTGGCAAATCATGTTCCCCTCTGAGCCTTGAGTTACCATCTCTACAGTGTGGGGGCTGGCCTGTTATTACCACAGACACCTCAAAAGCAACTTAGCCAGTGCTGAACTCTTTGCCCCAAGTTGCTCTCTTTCTGGGTGTCCTCTCCCTGCATTACCAGTAGGTTTTCCATCCCCAAGTCCTGTACATGCCAGCTCATTCATGTCTTTCTAACCCCTTCCTTCTCTTCCATCCCACAGACAACCATTAAGTGGAAGCCATGTGGTGTGGGGAGGGGAGGGGAAGCTTGAAACTGACCCTTCTGGGGGGATTTTTCTTCTCCCCAGCACACAGGAAGGGAAGGAGAGGACCTTGACCCTAATCAACGTGTCCTTCCCCCATGCAGACCCTGCGAAGCCTGAGCAGCTGGCCTTTAAGATGCGCCTCTATCACTTGCTGCAGATCAGAGCAGAAGCCCTCCTGGCAGCTGGCAGGTACTGCAAGCCTGGACATCAAGACTCCACTTGACCTCAGTGTCCAGCCATATGTGATGCTGCATAGGAAGGGGTGTGGAACCTTTGTCTTTGAGTCCTTCATAGCCTAGTTGCAGACACTAGTATGTCTACCTGAATAGGCCCTGCTCTCTTAAGAGCTATGAAAATGAGGTAAAGCAAAACAAACATGAGTTTTGTACCCTGAGCACCTATCCAGGCTGCTGCTCTTACTCATTGTGAGCCCCAAGTCAAATGAGCATATGAATCCCTACCTCACAGAATAATTTTAAGGATGAAATGAGATGAGGATGGTAAAGTACCTGGGAGCAAATGAAATTCTTATTCCAGGGAGGGATGGGAAAGTGAGGGTGGGATAGAGGAATCAAGGGATACTTCCTAGAGGAAGTGGTGCCTGAGCTCAGCTTTGAAGGATGAGAAAGATGCCCTTAAGTACCAAGCAGTGAGGCAGTCATGTAGAACAGAAAACTGTCATCTTTCGAGATTAGAATTGGATTGGGCAGGTATGAAAGGCGGCAAGGTTGTGGTAAGATTGGAGTGGTAGGCTGCTCTGAGTAGCTGTTGGTGAGGAAGCCTAATGTGGGAGGTGGCCTATCTGAGCTCTTGGGCCCAGGAAAAAGCGTGTGGGCCAGGACTACTGTTCCCCTTTATTGAATGTCTAGTTGATAATCCCATGTTGTATTTTTCAGCCACGTGATCATTCTGGGTGACCTGAACACAGCCCACTGCCCCATTGACCACTGGGATGTAGTCAACTTGGTAAGGCTCCCTCTAGGTGCCTGACTTCACTCCTGACTATGGTTCTATTCACCCAGCCAACCAATGCTGGGTTTTTGGCCCAGGGGCAGCTTCCTTTATGGAAAAGCAGAGATTAATTTGAAATACTATTCTTGTAGTACTGAGGATTGCTCATTCATTGAGTAGACATCATGGACCCTACCCTTGCCCTGGCCCTGAGCCATATGCTGGAGACTGAGTTAGGAGTCAAATCCAGCTTTTGGCCCCTCAGAGCTCTCTTACTGGTGGGCTACAGACACGTAGCCAGCCAGATATAGAATGGTATCTTAGGGCTGAGACAGAGATGGCATCCCAGGATGCTAGAGGAGCTCAGAGATGGGATTCCTAGGTAAGCCTGGACATCAGGGCAGATAGCTGAAAATGGCTGAATCTTAAAAGATAAGTACAACAGAGGTTTGGGGTGGGGGAAGCAAAGCATTCTAGCATGGGCAAAAGTTTCACGGTGAGAATTTGCCTGGTTTTCAGGGGGGACTGTAGGTCCCATTATTGTTAGAAAGGAGGTGGGTGGCAGAAGATTAGGCTGCAGAGTCTTTTGAGGGCCAGATTTCAAAGGCCTTGAATCCCACATTGCCTTGGTCATTTCCCTAATATATTGTTTCCTGCTCATGAACCTTTAGTAACCTCCATTTACCTCTGTGATCCAGAGAAAATATGGAGGCCTGGCATTTAAAGTTCTTTTTAGTCTATACCCCATCTCCATTTCCATTCTCAGTATCCCTACCCACTCTGTCCATCCCCTCCAGATAGATTGTCTTCTCTTTACCAATTGCAAAAGCTATTCTCATTCTGGTGTTTGTCACTGTGCCCCAAATTTGTGGACATCCCTGCCTTTCTGTCTTTTTTCTTATGTGGACTTCTCATCTCTAAGTTCCTTTAGGCCAATGGTTCTCAACCCCTGACTGCATATTAGAGCAGAAATATCATTACCTTAGCATCAGTCCAGATCAATGAAATCAGAATTTCTGGGCATATGGCCAGGGCACTGGTATGTTTTAACAGCCTTAGGGTGATTTTTTTGTGTAGCCAAGCTTGAGAACCACTGCCCTAGAATCTACAAGCCAGTTCTCTTCTTGTCCTGCCCCATGAAGGGGGGCAATCAGTAACTTATGCTGGCACAGTCTTGCTGAGCACTGGGCTTGGTTCATAGAATGGGCCACAGGAAAATTTCTTGATTAGTTTGTAGAAGAGCCACATAAACATAGATATGGCTTCCAGGTAGGAAAACGAGCAGAAAGAAAAGAATGGTGGTGGTGGTGGTGGTGGTGTAGGCGGCAGGGGGGCGAACATGACAAAAGTGCAAGCCTTCAGTCCTCCCATTGCCTCATTCCTCATCAGGCATTCACTCCATCTGTTCTTTCTGCTTCCTGTATTAGTATCAAATACCTTTAGGCCTCTCTACTTAGTTCAGAGCTATGCTAGATCTCTCAAGTATACCTCCTTCATTTCTCCTTTCAGGAAAAGAGAACTAATAGTACCAGTTCAAGTGACATACACAGTCATTCCACAATAGCAGAACATGCCCACTTTACACCAGACTGGCTTTTCAAGTTTTCTTGTCTCTCCAGGTGGGACCATCATCCCCTTGGTTGGTCCAGCTAGAAGCTTGAAATTGTCCTTCTAGACAGTTTCTAGAATTGTCCTTCTTCCTAGACAGGAAGAATTGTCCTTCTTCCTTACCCCCTTCTCGTATTCAGTTGGTCAGCAAGTACTATTGATTCTAGCTTCAAATCACCACATAATTTCATTTCTCTGTCTCCTCTGCCACCACCCTAGTCCAAGTGACCATCATTTCTTGCTTGCATGGACTATAGCATTCACCTCCTGCTGGTATTCCAGTCCTCAGTTTGGTCTGCCTTTCTAGTCTTTTGGGTATGCCGCACCCTGCCTCCACAGCCTTCACACGTAAGCTCCTTGTCACTTCCTAAAAGGCAACCTCTTTGGTCCCCAGGAGTAGATGAAGTTTCTACTTTGTCCCTAGCATCATGCCTGGCATATAATAGGTGTTCTATGAACATTTGTTCCATTGATGGGTTAGTGGATTGGATTGGATGGATGGATTGGAGATCGGAGCGAAAGGAAGTATTCAGACATGAGTCCCTGCAGCCTTAGCTCAGGAGGGAGGGCTGATCAGTGAGGGCTTTGACACATACCACATAAACCAGATAGCACCAGAGGGTATAAAGGAAAAGCCAACACTCTTCCTAACTCCTAACCCAGCCTTACTTCCCAGAGACAACCACTTTTAATTTCTTGTTTTCCGTTTTGTTTTGTTTTGTTTTGTTTTGTTTTGTTTTGTTTTGTTTTTAAAAGCAAGTCTGGGAATTGTTTTGATTAAACAAACAACAGACCTTCAGATTTGGTATTTATGGACTAATGCAAGGTAAATGCAACCTGGTGCAGAGAGAAAAACAAACATGGGCTTTTAAATAGGTAAGGATGGAAATGGAACCCCTGCTCTGCCACTTTTGGACTGTGTGACTTTGAGCAGTAGTCCTCTTTGCGACCAAATTTTCTTGTTTGCAAAATGAAACAGTCTGTAACCCTTTCAGTTCTAGACAACCAGTTCTGCCTTTCTTCTTCCCCCTCCCCCTCCCTCAGGAAGGTTTTGAAGAGGACCCAGGGCACAAGTGGATGGACGGCTTGCTCAGTAGCCTAGGTTGCCAGTCTGGCTCCCATGTAGGGCCCTTCATTGATAGCTACCGTTGCTTCCAACCAAAGCAGAAAGGAGCCTTCACCTGCTGGTCAGTGGTCACCGGTGCCCGCCATCTCAACTATGGCTCCCGGATTGACTATGTGCTGGGTGACAGGACTCTGGTCATAGACACCTTCCAGGCCTCCTTTCTGCTGCAGGAGGTGATGAGTTCTGATCACTGCCCCGTGGGTGCAGTCTTGAACGTGTCCCCTGTGCCTGCAAAACAGTGCCCACCTCTGTGTACCCGCTTCCTCCCTGAGTTTGCAGGTACCCAACTCAAGATCCTTCGCTTCCTAGTTCCTCTTGAACAAGATCCTGTGTTGGAGCAGTCAGCACTGCAGCTCAGCAGTCAAAGCAAGGTGCAGACATGCCAAAACAAAGGCCGAATATGCTCAACGAGGTCTTGGCCCAGTCAGGCTGGCTCCAGCAGAGGTCAGAAAAACTTGAAGAGCTACTTCCAGCCTTCTTCTAGCCGCCCCCAAGCCTCTCCTGACTTGGAGTTGCCTAGCCTGCCATGCATAGGTGCCCTCATTCCCCCAAAGACTTCAGAAGAGGAGACGTTGACCAAAGTGGCAGAGGGGCAGGCCAAGGCTTCAGAGGCCAAAGATGAGAAGGAGGTACAGACTTCATTCTGGAAATCTGTGCTGGGGGGGCCCATACCCACACCCCTCTGTGGGGACCACAGGGAGCCATGTGTGATGCGTACTGTGAAGAAGCCAGGACCCAACCTGGGCCGCCGTTTCTACATGTGTGCCAGACCCCGGGGTCCACCCACTGACCCCTCCTCCCGCTGCAACTTCTTCCTCTGGAGCAGACCCAACTGAACCACCTGGGGATGTCTGGCATGGTCACCCCTGCACATGATCTGAGGCCAGCTCCCCTCCTGAGCTGCCAGTGCTGCCTCTAGGCCTCCTTCCCTCCTCTTCCCCCTCTTCCTTTTCCTATTCCTCCTCTAAGCCTTCTCTTCCTCTTTCTTCCTGCCCCTCCTTGTCAGTGAGCTTCTTGTGCCTTAATACTGTGACCAAGGCCCCCACCCCACTTTCTACATTTCTGTCACAAGTACATGGGAACTAGCTGCCTCAGGAAGTTGTGATTTTAAACCTTTCTGTTCTTGCTGGGAAATGTATTTATGCAAAATGTCTGTGTCTTTGTTTCAGGGTACCACATTGAGTGGAAATTTTGGATATGCTCCCTAAAGTTGAGTCAGAGAAGCTAGCTTAATACTGGGTTTGCCAGCTGCCTGCAGCCCAGTGATATAACTTCTAAGGAGAGGGGAGGAGGGAAAAGCGGTGCTTACCATAAAGGGCTCTGCTTGGTTGTAGGTGTTTCCTGCACTTCTGAGGTTGCATCAGCAAGGGAGATGGGCCATGTAGCCTTAAACCAGAACTTCCCAACAAGTGTGTGCCATGGCTGCCACAGTTGGGTTACAGAGTGGAAAGACAAGGGGCCCTCAGCCCTCAGAGTTGCCAGGCAGGGTTGGGATTGCACAAGTCTCAGGGGAGATTGCTTCTTAGGCAAGCAATGTCATTAATTTACCCAAGTTTGCCATACAAATTTTTCCTGTGTCCTTGTGACCTAAAATGGTTGGGAGCATTGCCTTTAACATGGTGCTTGCCATGGCCAAGCCTCTTTTCTCACCTTGGGAAATGGCTGGTGAGTCCTATTTAAGATGTTGTGTGAGGGAAATAGGATGATGGATTGAGGGAGACATCCATTCCCTCTTCTGGAAAATACCTCCTCAATTTTGGAGAACCATTTCTTCTCTCCAGACAGTTTGGTTAGGGCTGACTCTTATCTCCTGGCTTCAGGGGCTATCTGCGGCCCAAGTGTCCAGGTCTACTAGTGACGAGTCAGTCCCTGGGTTTTCGTTGAATCATTGGGGAGGAGTCAATTCAAACAAGTCTGCCAAGTGTCCTGGCTCATTGTGCAAGTCATGTAGTGTTTGAGCATTTCCTTCCTCTTTCTGGATCTCAGTTTCTGTGTCAGTAAAATGGGATGGTCAGGCCAATAGGTGATCTGTGGTTTCCTCGTGGGTCTGCTGCTTATCTGAAGGAGTCAGGAATGCAGTTACCACTTCTCTGGCCAATAAAAGGCTGCGCATGCTGCAATTTGCTCTTTATTTTTAGATGTAAGTCTGCTAGAGGCATATAACAAAGCAGAGGACAAGAGAAGGTCCAACCCCAAGTGCAGTGCAGGTGGGGTGGGGGGGCTGAGGCGGCTGGCTTTTCAGGCATAGGTGGTGACGTACTGGGGCCCCATGTTCCCGAAGTAGGAACGTTCCCACTCACTCATGAGCTCGAAGTGCACAGGACGGTGACAGAAATTGCAGGCAGCCACAGACAGATCTTGGAAGGGCAGCCCCACCTCAGTCCAAGCTACCAGCAGCTTCTCTGAAGGTGATAGGTAGAGAGAAGGGAAAGAATTAGTTAGACTAGGTCTTCCAAATCCTTGTGTCACAGTACAGATAGGCCAATATATTGATACCCTCAACCTCTCGAGGTGCCTCAGGGCCAGTAGTAGCCTCCTCTGTTTGCTCCCGTGTGTGCCATGAGTGTTACCATTTGTCTGTGGGTGCCAGGATGTATGAAAGATTGGGAAGCCCTCCTTTGACACAATTTGAAGCCATACTGTTCTGCCCTGGACCACTCTCTAAGTATAGGATGTGCTCTGGCCCAAGAAGTGAATGTATTTGCTTGGAAACTCAGCCTAGTGAGGAAGATGACACTGACAGTAACCACACTGTGCCACTGGTGCTGTGACCAGGGATCCTGGAAGATGTGAGAACCCAGAGGAGGGAACCTGACCTAACTCTAGGAAGTGCCTCAGGTGTGTGCCAGGGCTATGTTCTTCACCTTTTCTATGTTCATGCCCTTGGTAATCTCATCTAGTCTAATGGTTTTAAATACCATTTCTATGCTCATGGTTCTGAAATTTTCATCTCCAGCCCAGACCTCTCTACTGATTTCTCGACTTTTATATCCAATGGCCTTTCTGCATTGTTACCTGGATATCTAATAGGCATCCCTAACTTATGAATACAACTGAGCTACTCATGTGTCTACCTTGTGCCAATCCTGCTCTACTTTTGGCCTTTCCCATCTCAGTTGATGGCAATTCTAGTTGTTCAGTCCAAACATTTCAGAACCATCCTTTATTTTTCTCTATTACCTATGTTTCATCTACCATGTTTCCCCAAAAATAAGACCTACCCATAAAATAAGCCCTAGCAGGATTTCTAAGCATTTGCTCAATAAAAGCCCTATCCCGAAATAAGACCTAGTGATGGGTGTGGCTACGCAGCGTATCTGCACAACTCATGCATTTCGTCACGGAGCGGTAAAAAAGAGCAGCCCTTCTCATCTGCCCCATGGGAGCTCTATTGCTCAACATGAGAGATTGGGGCCAATGGTTCTAAAGGAAATAGAGTCACAAGAAATTCAGGATGGAATTTGGGGTTTGGAGAGTTATGATGATGTTCCAGAAGAAGATGACTTAACTATATTTGAATAAATGTAGATTGTTGTACCATACTTAAAAAAATTAAAACATCCCTTGAAAATAAGCCCTAGGGTGTCTTCTTGAGGATAAATAAATGTAAGACCCTGTCTTATTTTGGGGGAAACATGGTATCAGCAAATGCCATTGGCTCCACCTTCAAAAATGTGACCACTTCGTACCATCTCTATTGCCAGTCTGAGCCAGTGTCATTTTTCACTTGGAATGTTACAGTAGCCCTCTACTGGGTCTCTCTGCTTCCACTCTTGCTCCCTTTCAGTGTATTCTCAACATAGAAGTCAGAACATTTCTGTTAAAACCTGAGTCAGATAAGTCAGTCCTCTGCTCAGGTCCTTCCAGGGTCTCTGAGTAAAAGCCCAAATCCTTCCAGTGACCTATAATACTCTACCCAATCTGGCCCCACTTTGCCTGCACCTGGTCAATTTATCATATCCCATTTACTTACACCCCTCCATCCACACATCTCTTCTTACTATTACTCAAATATACAAGGAATACTCCTGTGTCTTCCCTGCCTTAGGCTGTTCCCTCTGCCTAGGATTCCCTTCCCTTAGATATCTGCCCAGCTAACTTCTTCACCTCCTTCAAATCTTTGCTCAAGTGGCACCTCAATGGTCTCTACCCTTGCCACTCTAATATTTCTACTGTCCTCCAAACTAGCCCCTGGGGGCAGGGACTAGTTAATATCCCCCTTATCCTGCTTTATCTTTTTCCCCATAGTTCTTAGAGCTAACATGATGTTTAACCACTTAGGTATGGTGCTCACCAGCTGCAAAACCTTGCCCACAGCCAGCACTCATAGTCCGCACGATAGCTTGTGCTGTGCATTGACAACAAATCTGTTTTGCTCTTATGTGATGAGGAAAGCTTTAAAGCACTGAAAGTTTGTTTTACTTTACAGGCAGCTTTACTTGTAATGTAAATCAGGATAGGTAACATATACGTATATGTTTTCATTACGTTATTTTTAAATGTTCACAATTTTGATAAATGAAAAATTAGAAAAGTCATATCACAGCTGTCGGCTAAAGTCGACGCTCGGCTTTGTGCCTTCATATCAGTTCATCTGTGGCTATCGACTATAGTCGATGCTGGACTGTGCACATTCATCTTTGGCCATCGACTATAGTCGACACTGGTACCGAAGTGGCTAATTTCTTTATTTTAAAAATGTTTTTTGACTATCCCCTTCCACTAGAATTTAAGTTCCAGAGGTTAGGAATTTTGTCTCTGGTTGGTTTACTATTAGATCCCCAGCACCTAGAAGTGTCTAGTATGCAGTAAGTACTTGGTAAATGTTTGTTGAAAGAATGAAAGGATGCCAGAATTAAGTCTAGAAGATGAAGGGAAGTAAGCCAGAGGAGGGGGTGAGGAAGGGCATTCCAATCAGAAGAAAGTAGCATTAACAAAGTCACAGAGGTAAGTGAGCAGAGCAAAGTGAGGGAAGTGTAAGTCATTTATTGTAGTTGAAGAAGTAAAATGCATGTGGGGAAGAGGTGAGGGCATAGAGATTGCCAATGTGGTAGGCATTGAATGCCATGCCAAGGAGCTTTGACTGTTCAATAGGCCAGTGGTCTCCAAATTTTGGATCATACATCCCTACCAGTACAAACATTTTAGCATGTACCTCTGATCTCTGTATTTTTATTTATATACTATATACCTGTTTCATTGTCAGTCTGTATATGAAAGATCAATATCAGTGATGCTTAATTTCCTATTTTTAAGATTAAAAATAAACATAACATTCTAATATGTATTCTAGTCCCTCACCCTATAGATCATATTGCATACCTCACCTTGGAGGCCACTGCTCTAGAGCCTGGACAATAGGGAAATGAAGTGGTTTAAGCAAAGGAGCAATATGGTCAGGTTCTTAGAAAAATCTCTCTGGAAGTCAGTGTGGAGAAGGGATTGGAAAGAAACAAGAGAGATGCAGAAAAATTAGGAAGAAATCATATTGATATGGATTAAAGAAGCGGGGAGAAAAGACAACAGATTTGAGAGAGATTGCAGAGAACATTTGCAGGATTTCAGGGTGGGTTGGCTGTGAGATTGAGGGACTGATGGAGCCATGGTGGATGCCTCGCATATATTTTCCTGCAAAAGCCCAGCCTACATGAACATTCAGACAACTGAGAGTTCTGAGAGCTCTGACATTGAAGCCCAGAGCAATAAAGAAGACTGAACAAAAGGCCTAGGGGTCTGGGTCATCAACTCAGAGAGGCAGCAGACCTAGTGGTTATGACCATGGAGATAGAGACAGATCCCCAGTTCCAACCTAGTAGCCATGTGACCTTGGGCCAGTGACTATATATTTTTATGCCTCAATTTCCACATATTATAAAATAAAAATGAGAAGAGCATCTTAACCTCATGAAGTGAGGATTAGAGGAGTTAATACATGTAAAGTGTTTAGAACAGTGTTTGGCACATGGTAAGTACTCAATAAATCCTATCCAGCATTATTTAATGTGTTTAAGCAAATGAATAAATGATGCCTACCTACCTTGTCTTCCTTGAACTCTCCTATCTCTAGATCATTGCTAATGCAATTCCCTTATTCTGGAATATCCTCACACCATTGTCACATGTGCTTTATTGTGCAACACAAAAACTTCCTCACCCACGAAGCCTCTCTAATTTCATTCTTCCCACTCTCCAGCCATAATGAGCTCACTCCCTCTAGCTTCTAAAACAGTAGAGCTCATCATACTGGACCGCTATATCTATGTCTGGCTGCTCTGCTAGCCCATAAAACTGTATGTAACAGAAATCCAGCAAGCTTTAGTGAATTGACTAAACTGGAATTTTCAGGGTAAAATTAAAAAACTATTAAGGTGTACAAGCCTCTCAATCTAGTCCCTGGTTTTGCTGTCTAGTCCCTTGTTGTGTTGTCTTTGTAGACTCAGATTGACACTCCCCTCCCTAATTCCATTCCTACTACTTTACATCCCAATGACACCTGCTTATTATTCTTAATATATCCCAAGCTGCTTCTCACCCTCTTCCTTGTCTTTCTTCATGCTCTCCCCTCTGCTAGAAATACCTCTTCAACACCCTCCAAAACTCAGCTCAGGTGTCATCTCCACTAGGAAGCCTGTCCTGAATCCTCCAGGCTGCATCAGGCCCTTCTTCTCTGTTCCCACAACTCCCCCATGTATTGCCTTTGTTAAGCTTTGATCACCCCTTAATATTGTTTGTGTCCACCATGGTGTCCCCAACCAAACTGGAAACTTACAGGTCTAGGGTCTGTTTTTCATTCATTTGTGACCCTAGTATAGGGGATGGCACACAAGAGATGTTCCAGAAATATTTTTTGAACTGTATGATCTCTGTCCTCTCAATTTCTTCAGATCCTGGGGCTGAGGAGAGGCACAGTGCTGTAGATATCCATACTGAGAACTTACCCACAAAATCTTCCATCATCTGAGGGCTGTGGTGGGGGGAGGGTGCCAGGCGCAGCAGCTCCTCACCCCTTGGGACGGTTGGGTAGTTGATAGCCTGCACATAAATGCCGTGCTTGGAGAGCAGGAGATCACAGAGCTTGCTGTTGAGTGCTGCATCACCCACCTAGACTCAGGAAAAAGGCCTATCAATACCTGCCACCCTGACCCCACCATCACTAGCTCCATTAAGTAGGTAGAGGGAACTAGATTAGGGAAAATCATTGAATTTGGGGGCAGATTTTTTCATAAGGGGCTTAGTCTATGGCAGCTCCAGAATTGCTATGAAGGAGGAGCTCAGAGCCGGCAATCCAGTTTGAAGGGGGTGAGGTGGAGGTGACTCTAGGGGCCTTGTCTGGAAGCTGTTTGCAGAGCAAGCACACCAGTTTTACTTAGCTGGCATACTAATTTGTGTGTGTGTGGGGGGGTTCTGGATGGGAATATAAACTCCCCTATCCACTTCTGGGGTGCTGTAACTGGGTTAGTTCATAAGATGGGTGTTGATAAATGCAGTCTTTCAAGGAAATACTGGGTTAGCTTAAGGAGCTAACTTTAAGATGAGCTTTCTCATCTATAAAATTGTCACAAAAAAGTGTCCTTCCCACACCTCACTTACCAACTCACACAAATAGCACAAATAGATGTCATTTAAGAAATAAGTAGCAGTTCATTTTTAACAACAGTAAACACTCATACATAGTTGGGGATCCAAAATAGCAGCTAGTCCAGTGGCTTTTGATTTTATTTTTCTGACCTCAATTATTAGGAAACATATGTTTTGTACCATTACCATAAATACACACATGTACACATACATGTACATATATATGTACACAAAATTGAAACAAATGTCTCATAACATGATACACATAGTATGTATGATATACTCCAATGCTTTCTATTCTGTTTCTTTCATTTTTTAATGCCAATCATAACCCACCAAACTGATTTTGTGACCCACTAGTGGTCTTGATCCACAGTTTGAAAAACACTGAATTACAGGCCATGAGTACTCAATATTGTGCAGGTCAGGAAAGTCTAATAAGCATGACGTAATAGCTGATGCAAAGTAGAAATTGGCTAATCCAGAATGGCTGATAATGTTTCAAAAAGGGGAACAAAGCTGGCAATAAGGAGGACGGTTAGCAGGAAAGCAAAGAGTTGAAGCACGTATCAGTTTGCTGGGAGTGGAAAGGCTCCCAGAAGAGATAGATGGGGAGGGCAATGGGCAGGGTGGGGCTCTCACCTGGATGGGGATGATGTGGCTGGGGCAGGGGATGACAGGAAGGCCCCTGTCCATTAGTAGCTGGCGCATGTGCTTGACGTTGCGCTGGTGGGCCCGCCTCAGGGCTTGGCCCTCCTCTCCCTTGAGCACACGCACAGATTCCAGAGCCCCAGAGAGCACCATGGGGGGCAGTGAAGTGGTGAAGATGAAGCCTGCAGCATAGGAGCGCACCATGTCCACCAAGTCATGGGTGCTGGCAATGTAACCACCCACACAGCCAAAGGCTTTGCCTGGAGAGAGGGAGGAAGAAGATATGTGCAGATCCCATAATCAGTCCCCAGAGGAACAGGATCACATCCCAGGTAACACAGAGAGGTACACCAGAAGCTGGGGCTCCAGACTGTCTTCCCAGGCCTCTACTCATCTCTTCTGTCCATGACAAGGCAGTCAGAGCTGATGATTCTGTTGCTTTGAGATAGGACTTTCAAGTCCTGCCATATGCAATGACTAGATAGGAGGAGCTAGGTGGGGACCTTTAGCTGGTTAGGGCCATGAGTGGAGCTAAGATGAAGCTTGGGGCTGGGAATGGAGAGGGGTTTAGAAACACAGCTTTCCACTTAAGTTGAACCTGACTATTTAGCCCAGCTCAGGGGTCTTCAAAAAACCCTCCCAGACTTTCTCAGCAGATCTGCAATGGGATGGGAGTGGAGGGAGGGAGTCTAGCAGGATAGCAACCTGGGGCTGTGAATTCTGCCTAAACAGTTCCTGCAGCTTTGTTTGGGGAGAGAGAAAAGGGTTTTATAGGGGCTCCTGTCTGGATTCTATATAAAGGAGGCCCAAGGCATTCACTCACCAAGAGTTCCAGAGATGATGTCAATCTTGTGCATAATTCCATCACGCTCTCCAATCCCAGCGCCCCGGGACCCATACAATCCTACAGCATGGACTTCATCCACAAAGGTCAGGGCGCCGTACTGATGGGCCACATCACACAATTCCTCGAGGGGACAGATGGCACCTGAGCAAAGCCAAGGGATAGAGGTAGGAGATCATAACCCTTCCCCAGCTCCATCTCCAAGGTGGCCTATCCCATCCATGCCTACTTTATGTTGGCAAAGGGTGTTGTAGAGAGGGAGGAGGATGGGTACCCTCATTTGGAACTATTCCAAACCTCTTTGCATGCATTAACTGCTTGTACCCCACCCTTGCCTTAGCTGTGTGTGTGTGTGTGTGTGTGTGTGTGTGTGTGTGTGTGTGTTTTCCCCAGCCTGGGATCAAGGCTTGAGTCTCTGTCTTTCTGTTTTTACTTCATTCTGATTGTCCTCCTGTTTCTACCATTTTCAGCCTCTCTCTGCCTCCTTTGGTTTTTTCCTGCAAGTCTCTGTGTATACTAATACCATCCTCTGTACTCCCTGGAAACTGTTGAGGTATAGGGAGTTGGAATGCAGAAGAAACTCCTTCAGGTAGAAACAGGGGCTCCAGGCCAACATTAAAGAATGTGAGCATTTGATAGGAAAACATGAGAAGAGCCAACTAAAGAAGGTAGAGCCTGAGACAAAGAAGACAGTGTGATGGTTCATGCATAATTTCAATAGGAGAGATTCAGCCCTAGGGTTGACAGTTTAGGCAGTTTACACCAAAAAAGTAAGGAACCAGTCATTTACAATCATATAAGGAAGTCGAATGGTATCGACAAGGTTTCCACTAGAGAAATACTAAATTTGAATAGTCTCAGTAGTAGAAATATACTAGAAAGGGGTGGTTTTACTTTATCACTAGTTGTAGAAATGTGAGAGTGGGCATGATAGTAAGTTCCTTACATATATTAACTCATTTAATTCTCACAACTATTTAATTATTATCACCTCCATGTTGCAAATAAGGCAACTGAGAACTGAGACACAGAGCAATTAAGAAACTTGCCCAAGCTAGTAAGTTGTCATGCTGGGATTTGAAGATGGACAGTCTGCTTTTAGAGCTTGTGTGCATAAACATTGCATGGTGCTGATGGAACCTATGTTAGCTAAATCAGGGAGTACTATGGACACCCTCTTGTTTCAGTTGGAAAAGTGACAAACTGAAATGAGGTGAGGACCTCTTCCCTTAAATAAATCTGGAAGGGGATGCCTAAAACACATGATTTCTGCCCAATAGGGCCAGCAATAGAAAGCTTTGGGTGTTGTTTCAGTTGGGAGAAGAAAGGAGACAGGAAGGTAAAGGTCATTTATTTCTACTAAAGCATAATAAATGTATCAGCTTCATCATCTCTAATTCTTACAACCCGGTAATAATTTTTTTTCAGGGACTTACAGTTTATTGTATCACAAAATTAAAATGAAAACTCTAATAGAAAAATGAATAAAGGAAAAGAACAACTTACATTTTAGAAAATTTCAAATAGCTAATAAACAATGAAAAACATTCAATTTCACTTGCAAACAAAGAAATGAAAGTTAAAATAATGGGATACCATTTTTTACCCATCAAAGTACAACATGTGTTTTGATGGTAATATGCAATGTGTGGGTGAAGTGATCTCTCTCAAGTGCTTCAATTAGAAGTATATATTTTTTATTTCAGCATATTATGGGGGTACAAACGTTTAGGTTATGTATATATAGCTCTGCTCCACCTGAGTCAGAGCTTTAAGTATGTCCATCCCCCAGACAGTGTGCACTGTACCCATTAGGTGTGTATATACCCATCCTCTCCTCCCCCTTCCCATCTGCCCAACACTTGATGAATGTTATGTGCACGTTAAGTGTTGATCAGTTAAAACCAATTTGATGGTGAGCACATGTGGTGCTTATTTTTGCAAGAGTAAGAATTTTGCCTTGAGAAAACTTGAGGCTAAGAGAGTTAAAGAGTTACCCAAGGTCATACAGCCATTCAGTGTCAAAGGTGGGATTTAAAGATAGGTCTCTCTGACTTAAAAACCTCTTTTGATCCCAGGGCTTCATACTGGCCCTTGAAAAACAAATCCTAGGCAATGGTTTGTGAAATTTTCCATTGTAAAAAACCAGACACTGTATGATTAATTTGTACATCATTTCTAATGGGGGGGGGTATCACAAGAGGGAATTGGAGTTATATGTCCTAGTATGCGAATACTCATATTGGCACCAATTTTCTGAGCCACCCAAGACTAATTGGATGCCATCTCTGAACTTTAGCTTCTTAACCTGTACGATGAGTGTAATAACTCCCTCCATCCTTTGGCATTTACTAGCAGTGTGACCTTGGATGAGTTACTCCATTTGTTTATGTCTCAGTCTCCTCAATTAAAAAAGTAAAAAATAAAAATAGCACCTACCTCATAGAATTGTTGTAAAGATCAAATGAATTAATACATGTAAAATTTTTCTTGGCATATAATAAGCACTCTATAAGTATTAGCTGTTATTATTATCATTATTATCATCATGGATCTTGTGAGACCAATACTAGTAACCTACACTCACTCACACAATTACATACCATCCATAGAGTGAACAGTCTCGAAGGCCACAATTTTAGGTATCTCAGGGTTGGACTTCTCCAGAAGTTTCTTTAGGTGGTCAGGGTCATTGTGCCTGAAGACAAACTTGGCTGCTCCACTGTTGCGGATACCTTGGATCATGGAAGCATGATTGCCTGCATCTGAGTAAATCTCACACCCTGAGGAAACAGATGCACAATTTTTAAGTCTCTATATCAGTACTGTCACTTCACTTTGTAGGTCTGACCTGGCAGGGGAAAAGAGCTAACCCTCTCTTCTCTTTGAGGAACCTGCTCTGCTTTCTCCTTCTCTGGAAGCCATTGCAACACGTCTTCCTCCCTTGGAAGGACTTCCCTGACCTGAAATTCTGACCCTTACACCTTTCCCTCCAGTTATTTCTAACCTCAGTCTGGCTTCTGAATGTCTTGGGGTGGAGGAAATTTAATTTACCAGGAAGCTTTAGAGTTTCTTGAGGACAGGACCTAGGTTAATTCTCCTCGATATATAAGATCAAGACTTGGAAAGGATTTTTAACCCAGGGAATGTTTGTTTACTTGGACCAATGCTAGATTCTTCCTGGTCTAGATGAAATCCCACCTCTTATAGGTATCACCTGTCTGCTTATAGTTACAGGTATGGATACTTATAAGGCTTTCCCTGTTGAAATCATCAGCTCATGGCATGTCAGATTTGGGACGGCCATTAGTGATCATGGGATCCAGCCCCATTAGTGTACATGTGAGAAAGCTAAAGTCCAGAGAGGGCAAGGCCCTCTAGGACCTGAGGAATTCAGAGCTTTTTGCTGGGCAATGCTGGGAGGACAGCTGGGGGTTGGGAATTGCCAGAGGGAGTTGATACCTGTACCCCCAAAACTGTACTGCTATCAAGGAACTGTGGCCTTTCATAAGAGTAGTAACTGCTGCTTGAGAAAATGAACCATGGCTTCCTGGATGACATGGCTTGAAGGAAAAGCAGACTAAGAATTTCTTGAGAGCACAAACAACATTTTAAAAAATCTTTCTATCTCTGATATTTAGTATAAGGTTAAGTACATAGTAGATGCTAAGTAAACACATTTTTAATGAATCAATGAATAAACCAATGGCTGATTTATAAGTGAGTGAATGAGTATATGAATGAATATATTACTGAACTAATGAGTGAGAGGAAGGGTGTCAAAAGATGAGGATGAAGAGATATGTAGAAGGCAGATTACTAAGAGCTTTAGAAGCCATGATAAGGAGTTTAGATTTGGTTTTAAGGGCAATGGAGATACATTAGAGGGTTTTGATCAGGGGAATAACAAAGATAAGTTTGCATTTTTAAAGCCATTCTGACTTTTGTGAAGAATATATTGTAGAAGGGCAAAGGTGAAATTTAAAAAAATGATAGTCTAGGCTAGGATGGTGACAGTACAGATGGAATGTAGTTGAATTCTAATGGCTGAGGAGGGGATTGACTGATAAAAGTGTTGAAGATGTTGAGTTTAGTTGGGGCTTATGGGTGACCTCAGAAAAAGTTTTTGAGAAGTGGTGGTGATGTTTACAGTGTACTGAAGAAGAATCAGCAGAAAGTGATGAAGCAGATAGTAAGTGTGGAGACTTGTCTCAAGCAGTTTGCCTGTTACAGGGAGGAGAGAGATAGGGCAATAGCTAAGGAGTGGTGAGGGGTTGAGGCAATGGTTTTGTTTTGTTTTTCAGGATGCAAGAGACTTGAACATGCTTAAGAGAGGGAGAGGCTGAAGATATAGCAGACAGTGAGATAGCTGATAGATCAAGATTTCCAGGGAGGTAGAGGGGAGTATGACACAGAGCATCAGTGGAAGGACTAATCACAAGAAAAAGGACACTTCTTACACTGTGACAGGAGAGAAGGAACGAGGAGAGGACATGTGGAGATGCTTGTGAGTTTTTAGGTACTTTGTGGCTATGAGTTGAGGACATTGCTATCTGGTATCTTCTATTTTCAGTGCTGTAGGAGGTAAGGTCATCTGTTGAGGGTGGAGGGTTAGGAAAGTATGAGAAGGCTGAGGACAATAGGGATTTGGTAGAACTTCCCCAGAGACTTAGAAAACTGACCTGGGAAACAGGATTGCCAGAGGACATAAAGAATCCAACAGAGGTTGGGACTCATGAATTTTTAGTGGCTCTTGTCTGAGCAATTATATGAGCCCAGGATTGACATAGGGAAGGTGGAGAGTTGCATTCATCTGAGGTTGTGGCTGTGATTGAAGGATGACAAGATATATGAAGTGAGGACGTTATTGGTTAGAGAGTGGGAGAGTGGGAAGATGGGATCCAGTGTACAAGTGAAGAGATTGGCTTTAGGTGAAGGAGTGATATGCCTTCCATTGTAAGAGGAAAGAATGAGGGAAGGGTAGATGAATAAGCAAATAAATTTGTAGGCTTGGTGGCAATAAATAAGGAGTTCCTCTGGAGACCATTATCCTAAGTGACGTATCTCAGGAATGGAAAAACAAATACCACATGTCTCACTTATAAGTGGGAGCTAAACAATGGGTATACATTGTTTACCCATACATACAAAGTGGTCATAAAAAGTGATATAATGAACATTAGAAACCAAGAAGGGGGGATGTTAGGTAGCGGGTGAGGGATCAAAAATTACCTATCAGGTACAATGTACACTATTTGGGTGACAGGTTCACTAAAAGCCCTGACTGCATCACTATATAATCCATCCATGTAACAAAAAGCATTTGTACTCCCTAAATCTATCAAAATAACTAGAAAAATAAGGAGTTCCTTTCTGGTGACTTTTGTTTTCTTTGTGAAGTAAAATGTGAGGTTATTTGCTAATTGTGAAGGTGGAAGTAGTCAGAGGTTTTAGAAGAGGGAAGAAAGTTTGAAAAATCTTCTGTGGAGATATAAAAGGACTATGTTTGAGCATTAAGAGCCCAGTTGAATTGGGAGGTGATAAATTTATGGTGTTTCCCTTCTGTGAGGTTGACTGATGCTTCCGAGTAGTGGTCATCTATCTAGGTGTAGAAGGAGAGAAATCAGAGGGGTATAATCATCCAGTGTGAGGATATGCAAGGTGAATAAGAAGGAATGGCAATGGAAGCAAGGGAATTCAGAATAGTGGGAAGGAGCAATGGAGGCAGTGAGACTAGATGCTGTTTTGAAGGACACTAGCGTTTAACAAAGCTCAGGACTTACCTGGCAGGATCTTGGCCAGGGTGAAGAGAGTAGAGTCATTGGCCACAAAGCAAGAGGAGAAGAGCAGGGCTGAGTTCTTCTGGTGCAGCTCAGCCAGTTCCTGCTCAAGTTCCACATGAAACTTACTGGTGCCTGAGATATTGCGGGTGCCACCAGCTCCAGCTCCGTGACGCTGCAGAGTCTCCCTGGCCAGGAGAAAACAGGGGAGACGAGGAGAAGAAAAAGCCCTTGTCAGGCACTGAGGAATTAGGTAGGTTTCCCTTCTCTGATGGGGGTCAACATTGACTTAATGATCCTATATGAACTATGTCCTATGTGGCCAAGTAGAGAGGATGGGAAGGATGGGGAGACTGGATCCTCCTTCTAGGGCTAGAGACACTCAGGAATGGAGAAAGAAGCTAGCTTGAGGTTGAGCAGTTTGGAGGACCTAGAAAAGGTGACATACTATCTCTGGCAATACTAATTCCACAGCTAGATTAAGAGCTCATGGAGAGTGGGCCTTGCTTGGTCTCTCATCCTTCTTTTCCACTGCACTGGATACCCAAGAGTTTGCAAAACATGGTGTGTTGACTGACTTAGTTCATTTCTAAGGAATAAATATGCTGAGGACTTTTGACTAAAGGGCTGCTGGTGGAACCCAGGATTCTACTGTCAGTTCTGCCTTGTCCTTCCATGTGTGGTTTTGCATTTTCTCTGGGTATGTCCCCGCAGCTCATGACTCAGACCCTACTACTCACTGTGTGGCCTGCAAGACCCGAGGGTGCCGACTCATGCCCAGGTAGTCATTACTGCACCAGACAGACACATCTTTTGAGGCCGCAGATGCTTCAGAGAAGTGTTGGGCAAAGGGGTATGCATCAGCCCAGCGGTTCACAGTCTTGAACACACGGTAGGTATGATCCTGTTTCTTCTTCATGATCTTGTCCTTAAAAAACTGGTCATAACCAAAGGTATGGTTTCCTGTAGGAGTAGAGATGGGGATAAAAATAATTCAGTTTAAATTTATTCCTAACTAGTCTATATTTTATCCATATGTTGATTTTGAGTTGTTCAATTCTCCTTCCATGTATTCGTTTATTTACTCAGTCATTGACTTACTGGTCCACATTAACTCTCCACTATTTCATTCAACCATCCCTTTGCCTACTCACTCACTCAGTAATCCATTCCCACATTCACTCAGGCTTTCTACACTTGGTATGGCCTCATCTCTCTTTCTGGGGTTAGTGTGGCATTCTCCTTAATAGAATTACTACTTCCAATGTTAGTGGTAGGAGAATCAACAGAACTAGTTTCTAGTTATCTCTTTGCCACTTCCTAGCTGAGTGAATCCTCTCTTAGTTTTAATTTCCTCATCTTTAGAATGGGGCTAATACTATTTTCCTTGAAGAGTTGTGAGCATCTGATGACAGTATGTAACACACCCAAACTAACATCTGGCACATAGTAGTGGTACTAGTATTACTACTATAGTAATAGTAGTGGTAGCAACACTAATAAAAATAGTTGATATTTACTTATATTATTATAGCCAATATTTAATGAATGCCTAATACATATAAGGCCTTCTTCCAGGAACTTTTTAAATATTATTTCATTTATTACTCATGAAAATCCTATGTGGAAAGTTCTATTAGTGTCTCCATTTTACAGATGAGGGGACTGAGGCATAAAGAGGTTAGGTAATTTGATCAAGGTCATGCAGCAAGTAGGTGTCCAGCAAATAAACAACTCAGAGCCCACTTCCTTAACCACTACCACTACAAAATGGGGCAACTATATTTTCAGGATAGATTGCAATAATATATGCTAACGGGATTGTTAAACTCTAGAACTCTGTACACAAGACAGAAATCATGATTGTTTCAGACAGCAACTTATATGGTTATTGGGGGTGTAAATTGGTAACATCCTTGCTGCAGGGATGTTTGGAAATATGTATCAAGAGTTTTTTAAATATCATTCTGATTGGAGAAAAATTGCAACCATTCCCACTTAGATCTGGAACCACACAAGGATGCCCACTATCCCCACTTCTATTCAACATAGTGCTGAAAGTTCTTGCTACAGCAATTAGACAAGAAAGGGGAATTAAGGGCATCCAAATGGGAGAAGAAGAGATCAAACTCTCACTCTTTGCTGATGATATGATATTATATCTAGAAAACCCAAGAATTCAAACAACAGACTCCTGGAGTTGATAAATGAATTCAGTAAAGTCTCAGGATACAAAATTAATACACAGAAGTCAGAGGCATTTTTATATGCCAATAACAGTCATGCCAAAATTCAAATTTAAAAATGCAGAACCTTTTACAATAGCCTCAAAGAAAATCAAATATCTAGGTATATATTTAACAAAAGAGGTGAGAGACATATACAGGGAGAACTATGAAACACTAAAAAAAGAAATTGTAGAAGATGTAAACAGCTGGAAAATCTACCTTGCTCATAGATTGGTAGAATCAACATTGTTAAAATGCCCATATTACCTAAAGTGATCTACAGAATTAATGCAATCCCTATCAAAGTACCATAATCATTCTCTACAGATTTAGAAAAAATAACTTTATGCTTTGTATGGAACCAGAGAAGACCTTGTGTAACCAAAGCACTCTTAAGCAAAAAGAACAAACTGGGAGGTATCAGTGTACCAGACTTCATGCTGTACTACAAGGCTATAGTAAATAAAACAGTATGGAAATGGCACAAGAATATAGACATAGACCTTTGAAACAGGACTGAGAATCCAGAGGTTAAACCATCCACGTATTGTCATCTAATCTTTGACAAAGCAGACAAAAGTAACACTGGGGAAAAATCCCTTTTTAATAAATGGTGCTGGGAAAACTGGAAAGCTATATGTAGAAGATTGAAACTGGATGCCCACCTCTCACCTCTTGCAAAAATCAATTCTATATGGATAACAGCCTTAAACCTAAGGCATGAAACCTTAGGAATCCTAGAAGAAAATGTAGGGAAGACTCTTTTAGACATTGGCCTAGGCAAAGAATTTATGAAGAAGACCCCCAAAGCAATTACAGAAGCTACAAAAATAAATAAATGGGAACTGATCAAATTAAAAAGCTTCTGCACAGCCAAGGAAACTATCAGAGTGAATAGACAACCTACAGAATGGGAGAAAATATTTGCTCTCTACACATCCGATAAAGGGATGATAACAAGAATCTATATAGAACTCAAAAAATCAATAAGAAAAAATAAAAAAATCAACAAGAAAAAATCAAACAGCCCTATCAATAAATGGGCAAAAGACATGAACAGAAACTTTTCCAAAGAAGACAGAATAATGGCCAGCAAAAAAACAAAAATGCTCAACATCTCTAATCATTAGAGAAATGCAAATCAAAACCACCAATGAGATATATCCTAACTCCAGTAAGATTGGCCTGTATAAAAAAATCTGAAAGCAACAAATGCTGGCGAGGATGTGGAGAGATAGGAACAATCTTCACTGCTGGTGGGACTGCAAATTTAATGCAACTTCTGTGGAAAAGAATTTGGAGATAACTCAAAGAGCTACAAGTAGAACTACCATTTGATCCATCAATATCACTATTAGGCATCTACACAAAGGAACAAAAGTCATTCTATAATAAAGACATCTGCACCCGAATGTTCATGGCAGCACAATTCACTACAGTAAGGATGTGGAAACAACCCAAGTGCCCATCAATCCATGAGTGAATTAATAAAATATGGTACATGTATACAATTGAATACTACTCCATTATAAAAAAAAAAACAATGGTGATCTAGCACCTCTTATATTCTCCTGGATAGAGTTTGACCCTGTCCTCCAAAGTGAGGTATCATAAAAATGGAAGAATAGGCACCACATATACTCTCCATCAAACTGGCACTGACTGATCAACACTAAGGTGTTCACACAGTAGTAAGTAATATTCTTTGGGGGTAGGGGGTTTGGGGTGGGTAAACTCACAACTAAGAACGTGGTGAGCATTGTAGGGGGGAAAGGGCACGTCTCAAACCATGTCTGGGATGTGGCAAAGTCATACCATGTAACCAAAATGTTTGTACCCCCATAATTTCCTGAAATAATAAATAAATAAATAAAATAAACTCCTCGGTAAAAAAAGAGTTTTTTAAGTGCACATACTGACATACCTAAGGAAATATTTGCACCAAATTTAACATACAAATGACTGATATCCAGAATTTATTTTTTTATAACTATGAAAAATTACTATGAAAGATTTCAACCCAGTTGAAAAATGGGCAAAGAATATGAAAAAACAACTCAATAAATGTAGGAAAATATTCCTAACAAGGGAAAATAAAACCGAGAAAACAATTTTTTACCTATAAATTGATAAATATTTAAAACTTTGATAATATCAAGTGCTAGTAAGGTTGTGAGAATATGGATATCCTCCTTGATAACCAGTACAGCCATGTTGGAGGGCTAAGTGGCAATGTTTATTAATATTAAAAATGTGTACACCTTTACACCTCAAGAATTTCCACCTTTGAGTATTTATTCTAGAGAAACACTTGCCTATATGCTCAAGGAGGCACATTCAGGGATGTTTGTTGCACCACCGTGTGTAATAGGAAAAATTGGAAGCAACCAAATAGAGGAATAGCCAAATAATCTCTAGGATATCTATACTGCAAAATATTAGGAAACACTGAAAAGTGAGGTAGATATATATGTATTAACATGGAAGGATCACCAAGGCATATTGTTGAGTAAAAAAATAAGAATGCCACAGAGCAAAATATATAGCAAAACATCATTAGGTAAAAAAACAAAAAAACTGAGTACTATACATTTATATGTATGTAAATGTAATCTAACATGTATGTACATGTAATCCAACATGTAATCTAAACTAGAAGAGTACAAAAAAGTTGGAAACAAATTATAGGTGCTTGATTAACTCAATGAGGTTGTATCCATACTACAGAACACACTTCAACCATTAATAGTTATTATGCAGCTCTATGTTTATGGATGTAGAATGTTGCCCACAACATACTGTTAAGTGAACAATACAGCATTACAAACTCCAAGTAGAATAAGATCACATTTCTAATAAAAACATGTGTGTGGTAAGAGGAGTGGAGGGTGTGTGTGATGTGAATGGTAGAACTCAGAATGATTTAAATATCCATCTTTATACTTTCCTATATCTGCTGAAAAATATTTTACAATGAATCATATTCCTTTTTTGTTAATATAAAATAAAACAAATTTCATCATGAAAATGAATATAAACACATATAAGAGTGGGGAAAAGCTCTCTATGAAGGCTGAGAGTTTTTGAGGAAAGCGTGGAGAAGAAATAATGGAAGGAAGCCTAATATTTAATGAGGCCTCATAAAAAGCTAGAAACATTTCCATAAATGTAATTTTATTTTCTCCTCATGGTAACTTGTTGAGATAGGTATTAAAATCACACTGAAGGAAAGTGACTTACTTGCCAAAGTACACAGATCCAGCAACTGCCAGCATTAAAATTTAAACTCAGATTCCCTTTTGTTCCAAAGTCCTTTCATGCTCTTTCCTCTACTCTGTCAGAAGCCCTTTTAGATCTTCTTCCCTATTCTGATCCCATTTATTTCCACCTCAGCAAACTAACCAAGCATATTGTTCTGAATCAGGTGTGTGACCTTCCCTGAAATCTGCTCTTGCTCCTGGGGGACTGGAGAATGGTTTCCTCAGGCTGATTGAGGCCAGGGAGCTGGGCAGCTCTGAAAGGAAGTGTGGGATTCATTGGCCACAAAGAGAGGGGGATAAAAAGAAAGCATGTATTGTTCTCTTTAAGCTCAATGCAGTATATGAAAATTCAAGCTTATAAACTAAGGCAAGCCTTCTGGAGAGAGGAGAAATCTTCTGCAAAGTAGGCTCCTATTCATCTCCCTGAGTGGAGACTCCTATAATGTCAGGAAATCTCCCATAAGGTGAATCACACTTCTCCCCACTAAGATTTTCCCTTGAGTGAGGTAACTGGGGCAGCCATGCTGGGTCCTACACTTGGGAAGTAGATGTAGAGCAGTGCACCTAACTCTTTTTTTTTTTTTTTTTTTTTTTTTGCATTTTTTTTTTTTATGTGGCGGTGAAGGTGGTAGGACCTATTCACATGATTTTAAGGTTTCAATAAATGCCCATTTCCCCCCCTCCCCCCAAAAGTCTGAGTCTCCATCATGACCATCCCCCAGATGGTGCACATCTCACTCACTATGTATGTATATACCCGCCCCCCTCCCCCCTCCCACCTGCCCAATGCACCTAACTCTTATTTTCGAAACATCATTTCAAAATTCTGGTCCTTAACAATATCCCCAAAGGGCCTATGAAATATGTCAACAGTGTGGCCATCTCTCAAGAGTAATTATCTTGGGTGATCTGCATCAGTTGAGTTGAGCTGGAGTTCCACCCTTCTAAAGGATGTACCTACTCCTAACCTTTTATGTTTCATGCAAATCCAGATTCTCATAGAATAGTATTGCTTAAACATGGGAACCCAGACTGTTGGGATCTATTTAGCCACCTGAAAGAAGAGAGGCAGAATTTTAGAGGACTCATCTTAGACTGATGTCTGAAAGTTACAGGAGCCTGTGCATAAGTGTGTGTTTGGAAGGGTGTGCTTCAGTATATAGTCTAACCTATTGCCTATCATGGCTCCCCTGTAAAAGACTAGACTACTCATCATGGGATGTGCATTAAGATGCCCTTGGATTAGCCTAGCTCAGGACTGTGATGAAGTGGGTTCAAGAATTAGGTTGCATAAAGTGGAACTTGACTCCAACCTGTCTTGAAAGCCTTCACATCCTCCTGGACTTCTGGAGCTGCCTTCTGCACAATCTTGCTCTTCCCATCCTGGAGTTCTGACAGCATGAAGGGACAGTGGCCCTTGGCCCAAGATGGAGAGTCTATACAAAAGTAAGAGAGTAATTGGGGTTGCATTTCTAGCTATAAGTTCAGTTCAATAATGGTTACTGAGATTTACTGAATCCCAAAGCCCTAGCTCAGGCTATGGTACAGACACACAGATAGATGAGTCTGGTCTCTGTGCTAGAGGAGCTTCTAAGATGGTGAGAATGGCACATGCTGAAGACACATTGTGAACAGTGCTGGGATGGGAGGGAGGACAAGGGCTATGGAAGTCCAGAAGAGGGAGGGGGCATGATCCAAAATTGGAATTGGACAAGCTGGAATTGGGAGGTCTAGGCAGGCTTCACAGAGGATATGATGCCAAAGCTTAGTGTCAAATGAGAAATATGAGATACTCTGGTACAGGGTATGGGAGAAGTAATTTGACAGGATCAAAGGCACAGAATCTTGAGAAAATAGGATTGATTCAGGCAATTTTAAGTAGTTTCAGCATGGTTAGAGTATAGTGTGTAGAGAGAATGGGAGTGAGACTCTCTAGAGAACCTGGTAGAAGACAGATCCTGGGTATATTTTGGGGCAAGTTCATCTTACCTTGACACTTTTCACATGAACCCTCCTATTAGGCAATGATGGCCTATATGACTTGTAACCTTGTCCATAGGACCCAGACATACTTCCCTTTTGCCAGCAGCCTCTTCTTACCTCCCCCAGCCTTTGTTGCCTTAAGATGGATTTGAGAACAAATTGGTCCTTGGGTAGCCAAAATAGGACAGCGTCCAATACCAAACAGGAACTGATGAGTCTTCACTACCTTGCCTAGGAGGCCTGTGGGGCCCCGGGCAAGCACTGGACAGTACTGTAGCAACATGGCTGCTGCCACCATCTTGAACCCAAAGTCCTGCAGAAGATATAGAAGAGATGAGATTCCATCATGAAAGTGAGCCAAAAGCGAAGGGTCATTCCTGTGTTTGATCTTTTGTCTTTAGTTTCCCACCCAAAGCTTGCTGCCCTCCTCAGAGATAGATGCCTTTATTGTCCTTCCAGGGAAAGAACTTCTTTCCTAATGTTAAAATGTACCAATGGGGCATCAGAGAGGAAGAAATAAGAAACTGACCACTAGACAAAGGGCTGAAGGAAAGACTTCTAACTGGAAGCCAAAAAGCCTGGATTCTGAGTCAGAGTCTGCCACTGACCCATTCTGTTTTGGTGAGGATCACTGAAGTGTATTTGTGTATGGCGGGATGAGAGTTGACAATCCACCCACCCTTTAATCAATATTTAAGACCAAGAATCTTTCTAAGAATATTGGCCTTAGCAAAGTGAAGATTTAGCCTGCTAATGCAAACAGATGCCATTGACTAGAGCTCCTGAGGCTTTGCCCAGAGACTTTCCTGAGCAAGCTCAGCCAGAGAGAGAGAAGGAGCTTGAGGCCATAGGTACCAAGAGATCCAGAGAACAGGAAGAAAGGGCAGGCCCAGGTCCTAAAGACTATGTTCCATCAGGCTGGTGTTTTGCTGTCTTTGAATTTGCATCTGGATTTTGGATAAGTACAGATAAAGGAGGAGATGAAAGCAAATCCCAGGGAGCTAGAAGACAAGGCACAAAGACATAGTCTATGGGTTAGTGAAAGAGGCAGAGGCCAAGACAGAGGAGAGAAAGGGGACAGAGTGAAGATCAGAAAAAGAAAAAACAAATGGCACATAAGTATTAATAAATATTTATTGAATTTGGGAGTAAATTAATGAATGAACAGAGTCTTAAATGGGGAAAAGAAAAGGGCAGTAGGGAAAGTTGTTAGAAGAAAAAAAATTTTAGGAAAGATAAAGGATTAAAGTAGAGAGAGAATAAAGGTGTGGTGGTAGTGGTGGAGTTAGAAGAACAGAAATTGAGGAAGAGAAATAGATCAAAGCCAGAGGTAAAGGGGACAGAGTAAAGATGAGAACAGACATGGGGAGAGGGACTATTTTGGAAAGACAGAGGACAAGAGGATGATGAAAAATACAGAATGATAAGGAAAGAGACAGAGGGGTATCATATAGTGGTAGAGGCAGATGTAGACAGGTGCAAAAGGAACATGAGGAAAGACATAATGGAGACTAAAGGAATATACAAAGATTCCTAAAACTCAGAGAAGAAGAGGAGAAAATCCAGCAGGGGCAGACAGTTAGCCAGGCAGAAAGATAAAAGGAGAAATGCTGCCAGAGAATGGGGAGGGTTAAGCAACAAACAAAATTTCAGGGAAATGGAGCATGGGCCTATTGAAGGAGATGAGAAAGACACTGAGGGACAGAGAGAAGAGAGTGGAGAAAATGATAAGATCAAAGGATAGAGACAGAGAGGTGGCTTAAAGAGGAGATGAGGGTTGTGAGGAGGGAAGGCTGAGAGATACCAAAGGAAGGATAGCTAGAGAGAGCAAGAGGAAGAAACAGACTGAAATAAAAAGGGCAAATTGGAAAGCCAGAGTCAAAGGGTGAGACAACATAAGGGACAGTACAATGGGAGAGATACGGGGGAATTTGGGAGGACTAAGGCCTTGGCACTGCCAACAAAGCTACTGAGTAGACTCTAATAGAACCCTGAATACCTAAAGCCTTATGTTATGAGGGAAGGGCGAGCAGGAGGAGCTCATGGCTTTGTCCTCACATGGCAACCTCCTTCACCTCCCTCTCTTCCCGATCTCATAGAGCAAGCACCCTCCCCATATCTCACAAAACAATCTCTTCCCATTTTTCCATCCCAGAGCATACTTCTCCCACTCTCATAGGCTGTCACAGCAATCTGGGTTGGTATGTGGAGCCAAGGCATGTAGGCCCTGAAATTGGAAAAGGAAGGATTATTGTTGAAAGGACTAAATGAAATAATCCATGTTAAGCCTTTAGGATAGTGCCTGGCAACATAGTAAGTGTTCAATACATGTTAGCTTTTCTTATTTAAATTCCAACTCTCCAAACTCCCTTGTTGGACATTCTTGCACAAGTCTCTCTGGGTCTTGACTTTCATCAGCAATCAAGTGTGAGGTAAATTATACCTACCTGACATGGTAGGTAATGAATTGGATCCATTGTCTACTTCACATCTGAAGATAGGGGTTTCCCTTCCCCTGCCTGGCTGCGAAAGTTAAAGCACTTGAGGCTGAGCCTGCAGAACATAGATAAATCTCCCAGAGTTTATCACTATTGGGGTATGACTACTCCCCAAGCTGAGACCAGGGCGTGGTAGAGAACAGAAGCCGCTTCCTGGAATCATGTCTGAGCATCTGGCTGGGGCTGGCCCTAGCTTTTGGTGGTGAGGAGAGGTGGATGGGCCAGTGAGAGGCAGGCAAGGCAGATGGCCAGAATCTAGGCTCCTGCAAACTCCTTCTCCCAACATCAATACTGACAACAATAATGACAACATTAGAGTATTTAGTGGGAAGGAAAAACCTCAAAATTAAAGGCAAAGTCCAGTCTTGCCTTGGGATAATTGAAGATTAAGGCCTATTCCCCATGTATAAAAAAAAAAAAGAAGTTCAATATACTCATAATATCTAAAGGGTTTTAGGCCATGATATGCTCATTGTCCTGGGAAAATAAAGACCACTGCTTGGAATTTATTGAATTCTTAAGTTCTTTCAAGCTCCAGTTCCCATTTCTCCTCTTCTGATACTTCTTTCCTAGAATTTGTCCTGCTTCACTCTGCTTGGCCATCATTATGACCCATGACTTTCTAGTCTAGTCACCTTGGGCTTGGTTTCCATTCCATCTCACTACCTACCATGAAACTGGAGTGAGTAAAATGGAATCAAGGAAACATTTTAGGCAATTTAGGGTATTGAGAGCATAGGCTCTGGAGCCAGACTACTTGGATTTGAATCCTGGCTCCATCATTCATTAGCTTTGGGACTTTAGAAAACTCACTACCCTGCTCTATATCTTATATCAGTAAAATTAACAAGGATTATCTGTTTCATAGGAACATTGTGAAGATTCCATAAGATAATCCATACAAACCATTTAGAAGAGTAGCCATCCCAGAATGAACACCGATAAATTGTTAGCTATTATTGTTTTTCTGTTTTCTATGTAGGGAAAGTGAAGGTACAGCCAAAGGAAGTCACGTCATGAATATACCAGGCCAGGCCTGAACAGCTAAACTTCTCTCAATCCTGTCACAATTTACTACATGAACTTGGGTTCTGTACTTTCCCTCTCTGGGCATTAGTTTCTCCACATATGTTAGATTACATTATTTCAGAAATTCCATATGATTCTGATAGTCAAACACTCACAGAGCCCTCACTCTGCCAGGCCCTATTATAAATGCTTCACATGCACTGACTTTGTTAATCTTCATGTCAACCTTTTGATGGGGACACTGAGGCTCCAGAAGTTTAAGTAACCTGTTCAGGTCATAGAATGAGTAAGTAGGAGAAGCAGGATTTGAACCTCCAGAGGCCACTAACTTTACCCCTATGGATCCATTATTCAAATATTACTACATATTTTCTTGACTGAGGGTCTGACTCCAGACATCCCCTTGTTGCACTAACATAGGCCCCTTTCCAGGACATTTGCTTTTTGTGACCAAAGGCCTTTACTAAAGCAACTGAAGTGGAATTTCAGGTACTGTTGAATATTCATTCATTTATTCATTCTACCATTTAACAATATATGCACCCATTGTGTGATAATGCTCTCCAGGAATCTTCTTAAAACAATGCTTTCAACCAGAGATGGTGAAATTTCAGGCCAAATGACAGATCACTACTCAAAGGTTTTCCCTGTACCTTCAAAATCCTCTCTCATGTCAGCATCCAATCTACAGTCCCCAGAGGTCAAAGGGGCCAACCACAACTCTACCTCAACAGAGAGCCAGAAACCACACATCGCAGCATTCCTTGCCCTCCCTCCTTTTGTGACTTGCTTTGCAAGAATCAGTTAAGTCTGGAGAGGAAGTGGTCACTTCTCTTCAGAAGTTGGAAACATCAGGTCTTACTGCCCTTTCTAGCAGCCTTTCCCAACCACTGAAGAATCATACAGAATCTTAGATACCTCCAATCAGAGAATCATAAATTCATAGAAACAAAAAACTTAAAAGGCCACAAAATCAAAAGTAGAAAGGGTAGTAGAAATCACAGATCAAACCTTTTCTTCAGAAGGTGAATGATTTGCCTAGTGTCTCACAGTACATTAGGGTGTGAATACAAGTCTGTTGACTTTCTGCATAGTGACACTACATTCCTCTTCCACTTTCTCCCCTTATTTCTGATAATTGTTCATCTCTCAATTCCCTCACTTCTCTCCTTACTAAATTCATCATTCCCATCTCCCCCTCATCCCCTTAGTTATCCTCCCTAGCTCTGGCCTCCAAGGCTCTGACCCACTGAGCACTGCTATCAGCCCAGCAGGGAGAGAGAGTCAAAGGGAGGAGGAATGGAGAATTGCAGGAAGAAATATTAAGACATCTTTCTTCACAGAGAAGTAGAGAAGGAGAGGAAGAGACAGACAGAAACATGGAGACTGAAAGATACAGAGTTCAAGAAAGAGGAGAGAGAAATTTAGAGGAAAAAATACAGTGAGAACTTAGAGGAGGGAAAAATAAGAGAAAGTGAGAGCGTAAGAGAGTAAGAAGTGAAGTTAGTAAAGACTAAGAAAAGAGAAAAAACAAGGAAAAAAGAGACAGAGGAAAGCTGAAAACAAGGGAAGACACAGGAAGAAACATAAGGAGAGAAAAAAAGATAATGACAAAGAAACAGGTCCTAAGAAACAGACAAAGGGAAAGTGAGATCTAATCAGGCCAGAGTAAGTGTGTGCAGCCTTGAGGTGGGCAGGCAGAACAGAGAATGTGCCAGGCTGAAAGCAGCTCTTACCTGTTGCCCTGCACTGAGGACGAACGAACCATGGGTGGGTGCTGTTGGTTAGGACCTGGTATTTATCCCTACCACTGGCTCAGCTCCACCCATCCTGCCTTCTGCTGGCCTGGCCCTGCATTGGCCCCAAAGGTATCTCAGGCCCTTGCTAGAGATAAAACCCAAAGTAGTCTCTTGTCTCCCCCACCACACCCCCAGCTCTGGCTCTTCTCTGTTTTCTTTCTCTTCTCTCTCTGCAATAGTAAAATGAGCTAGCTCATTAGGGCTTTGGAATCAGACCATCTGTGTAGAGAGCTAGGGCACCTTGAGCAAAACAACCTCTCTGACCCTTGGTCTTCTCAACTGCAAAAGAAGGGTTATAAAACACAGAAGCGACTGTAGCATAAGTGGGAAGGGCTCTGGAGTCCAACCAAGTATATATGTTGGGTATGGTTTTCCACCTGTTTATGTCCTCTGCTATTTCCTTCCTCGCTGTTTCATAGTTCTCCCTGTAGAGGTCTTTTGCCTCCTTAGTTAAATATATTCCTAGGTATTTTATTTTCTTTGTTGCTATTGTGAAGGGTATTGAGTCTTTGATTTGGTTCTCAGTTTGACTGTTGTTGGCATATAGGAATGCTACTGATTTCTGTACATTGCTTTTGTAACCTGAGACTTTGCTGAATTTGTATATAATTTCCAGCAGTCTCATGGCAGAATCCATGGGGTTTTCTAGATCTAAGGTCATATTGCCGGCAAAGAGTGATAATTTGACCTCTTCTGCCCCTATTTGGATGCCCATGATTTCCTTCTCTTGTTTGATTGCTCTGCCTAAGACTTTCAGCACTATTTTGAATAGAAGTGGTAATAGAGAGCAATCTCGTGTGGTTCCAGTTCTAAGCGGGAATGCTTTCAATTTTTAATCTTCCATAAGGTTGTTCAGTTTTGTTCTGGAAGCTAGTTAAGTTCTTGTTGGTCCTTTAGGTCTTGTCAGGCTTGCTTTTATTCTTTTTTTAGAGTGGGTATGTATCAATTTTGAACTTAGTTCTAGGGCTTACATTTTTTCTAGGACATGTTAGTTATTCCTAATGCTTAATGTTACTGGGTCTAAATTGAATGTCCATCATGCTCAGTAAGGTCTCTGCACTCAGCGCCTGTCTGTCATAGACTTCTTGAAGTCTTGTCCTTTCTAAGTATTTGTATTCCCTCATGCCCATATTGCATGGCAGTGTGCATATGTGTGACTTTCTTGTGTTTGTGCTATCCCATTGAGAGGGAAACATCTAATTAGGTATGTGGGATATCAGTACCATTGTGTAACATTGAAATGAGCATGTGTGTGTGTTAGTCTGTTTTGTGCTGCTATAACAGAATACCAGAGACTGGATAATTTATAGAGAACAGAAACTTATTTCTTACAGTTCTGGAGGCTGGGAAGTCCAAGGTCAAGGTGCTAGTGTCTGATTTGCTGAGAACCTTCTTGTTCCATGCTCACATGGATGAACGCAGAAAAGCAATGGGGAGTGAACCCACTCCTACAAGTTCTTTTTATAGCAGCATTAATCCGTTCATGAAGGGGGAGGCAGTGTGTAACATAGATTCTTTTTGTATTATAACTCAGTAAGCATGAATGAACTTGTGCATGTGAGGAAATAAAAATATTTAATATTTTTAATATCTAAACAAATTTCTACAAATCTGAATGTAGAATATCAAATGTATGCATTATACTTTGTTATGGACTGAATGTTCATGCCTCCCCCCAAATTCATATGTTGAAGCCCTGACCCTGAATGTGGCTGTATGAGGAGATGGGGCCTCTAAGGAAGTGCTATGTTTTAAATGTTTGCATGCCCTCCAAAATTCATGTTAAAAATTAATCCCCAGTACAACAGTAGTAAGAGATATGGCCTTTAAAAGGTGAATAGGCCATGAAGGCTACACCCTCATGAGTGGTATAAATGCCTGATAAAAGGGTTTGAGGGGGAAAGTTCAACCTTTCTGTCCCTTCTGCCATGGGAGGACACAGCATTCATCCCCTCTGGAGGATGCAGCAACAAGGTGTCATCTTGGAAGCAGAGAGCAGCTCTCACCAGACACTGAATCTGCTGGTGCTTTGATCTTGGATCCTATCAAGATCAAGCCTTCCCAGCCTCCAGAACTATGAGAAATAAATTTCCATTTTTAATAAATTACCCAGTCTGTAGTACTCTATTATAGCAGCACAAATGGACTAAGTTAGAAATTTGTGCCAGGAGTGGGCTGATACTATAACAAATACTTAAAAATGTGGACTCAGCATTGGAACTGGGTAATGGGTAGAGGCTGGAAGAATTTGGAGGAATAAGCTAGGAAAAGATTATATTGCTGTGAATAGACTGTAAAAGGTAGTTCTGATGAGGGCTCAGAAGAAGAGGAGAGCTGTAGACAGAGCCTCAATTTTTAAAAAAAATACTTAAGTGGTTGTGATCAGAATGTTGGTGGAAATATGGACAGCAAAAGGCCATTCTGATGAAGTCTTAGGTGGAAATGAGTAATATCTTATTGGAAACTGTATTGGCTGAATTGTGTCTGTGTCCTAGCATTTTATGGAAGGCAGAACTGAAGAGTGATAAACTAGAATATTTGGTGGAAGAAATATGTAAGCAAAGTATTCAGGATACTGCATAGCTTCTCTTAAATGCTTACAGTAAAATGCAAGAAGAGAGAAATGATTCAACACATTGACTGCCACACTATAAAAAAATTTTTTCCCCTGGAGCCAGGGTGTTTTATTAAAATGAAATGATCCTTTCTAATTTGTTTTTTTTTATTGTTTTCTGTGCATGAATTATATGCAATGCAGTCCACATTTTTAGAATTAAATTGTCAGTATTAATTGTAACAATATTAACATCAACAAGTAAGATTTTCATGAACAAACTACAAGGTTTTGTTTTGCAAGGCCCTAACTCAAAACTATCCTGAGTTAAATACAACTCACATGGCAGTCAATGTGTTAAACATAAAATTTATAATTACAAAGGAAGCAAAACTTAATGATTTGGAAAATTCTCAGCTTGGCCATGTAAATAATAAAAAATCATGTTTAGAATAGAAAACCAAGAGATTGTTTGATAAGGAGATTATTGTGGCTATTAATAGAAGAAAGCCAGGTGCCAGTCATCAGGACAATGGCAGAATGACCCTGAAGGCATTTTAGAGATCTCTGAGGTGGTCTCTCCTATCACAAGTCCAGAGTGCTAAGGCCTTGAGGCATAAAATTTTCAGAGGAGGGGCCCAGGGTGACTGAGGAATCCCAGGGTTCATTGTGCAGGGATGCCTCAAGTCTCTGTTTCCTGCATTCCAGTGAAGTGGTCCTTTAACACCCCAGCTGTGGCTCAAGAGGGCCAAGGTGTGGCTCTGGTTGTCACTCTGAAGGGCACAAGCCATAAGTCTTTACAGTTTCTATATGATGCTAACTCTGCAGGCACACAGAGTTTATGAGCAGTGGAGGCATGGCTGCCTCCACCTGCATTTCAAAGGATGTCTCAGAGAGCCTCAGAGCCCAAGCAATAAACTGTGGGGATGGGGCCAAAACAGAGAACCCCCACAAGGTTAATGTTTAGTGGAGCCATGGGAGCAGGTCTGTCACAGAGACCCCAGATCTGTATAGCCACCAGCATGCAGCACTAGCCTGGGAGAGCCATAGGCACCTGACTTTAACCTTTGAGAGCTGTGGTAGCAGACCCATGGGGGCAGGGTCCCCTGGATCCGTGGGGACTTAACCCCTGCCCCAGCGTGTACAGAAGGTGGGACAAAAAAGTGAAAGAAGTTTATTTTCAAGCTTTAATATTTAATTTTGTTTTCCCTATTGGTTTTTTAACTTACACAGGACCAGTTACCCCTTTCTTCCTTGATATTTCTCCTTTTTGGAATGGAAATGTCTGTTCTGTGTCTGTCCTGCACTTGTATTTTGGAAGCACATAACTTATTTGACTTCACAAATTCACAGGTGGAAGAAAATTTGCCTTAGATGAATTGTACCCTAAGTCTCACCTATATGATATTTAGATAAGACTTTGCACTTAGACTTTAAAGTTGATGTTGTAATGAGCTAAGACTTTTAGAACTATTTAAATGGAATGAATATAGCTTGTATGTGAGAAGGATATGCATGGCAGGCAACTGTGGAATGCTGTGGTTTGAATATATTTCCTCCAAAATTCAACTGTTGCCAGTGTTACAATATTAAGACTAGTGACTTTTTTTTTTTAATTTCGGCATATTATGGGGGTACAGATTTTAAGGTTTCAATAAATGCCTATTTCCCCCCCTCCCCCCAAAAGTCTGAGTCTCCATAATGACCATCCCCCAGATGGTGCGCATCTCACTCATTATGTATGTATAACGGCCTCTCCACTGCCCAATACTATTAGTAGTACCTATGTGTCCCTTAGGTGCTACTCAGTAATTCCAGTTGCTGGAGATATATCTGGGTGCTTGTTTTCCATTCTGGGATGCTTCATTGTAGTATGGGTTCGCTCCTACCAGGACTATAAGATGTGCTATATCCCGTTGTTTCTTGGCTGATGACTCCAATGGTGTACATTCAATTTTCATAATAATCATTCTTTGGATTGATGGGCACTTGGGCTGTTTTCCAGCTGGGATATGAATGTGCTGCATGAATTCAGTGGGTGTCTTTTTGTAGGGTCATTGGATCATTGGTAGATCCAGCAAGGATTGCTGATCCAAAGGTATTACATTATCGTTAAGGTATCTCCATATTGCTCTTGCCACAAAGGTTGAACTATTTGCAGTCCACAGCAGTGTAGGAGTGTTTCTCTCTCTCCACAACCACGCTAGCATTATTGTTGTGGATTTTATGATAAGGCCATTCTCACTGGGAAAAGTGAATTCATTGTGTTTTGATTTTGCATACCCTGATGATTAGGATGTGAGGCATTTTTCATAGTTGGTTGGCATCTCTATCTGTCTTCTTCAGGAAAGTTTCTGTTCAAGTTCTTTTGCCACGTTTAATATGGGGTTTTTTTTTTTTCTTCTCGATTTTGCATGGTTCTAAGTAATTTCTGTTACATCCTTTCGGATGCATAGGATGCAAATTCTCCATAATCTGTTAGGTTCGTTTCTATCATGACTATTT